GGGCTCTGGACGTTGTCTCACAAGCTTGTCAGTGGAACATCGAGAGATGCCCTGGTGACCTCAGGGCATTGGGGCTGCCCCTCCACCACTTAGCTACCAGCCCCCCACACACCCATCACTTACCACGTGGTGCGTGGGTCCCTCTGTCTCCCTGCACAGCTGGCCCCGTCTCAAGTCAGGAGCGTGGGCTGGGGAACTGCTGGCTGTTGCTGAAGGACAGTGGCTACCGAGCACCTGCTGGAGCTACGGCAGGGCACAGAGCACACCTCGTCCCTTTCTTCACGGAGCTTGCGATGGCAGTGAAGCAGCCCAGGGGAGGTGGTGGGAGTACGGGGTGCGGTGAAGGCGATACTTTGGTCCTCACGGAGCTCTGCGAGGATCGAGTGAAATGATCCCTCAGCATTATTCATTGTGAAAACCACGCAGAAGCTAGGGCACGGCAGCTCCCACCAGAACTTTTCTGCCGTTCACAGAAAGTGAGGGCCGAATGTAAAAACAGCTCCTTGAACCCACTCGAGAACATTGGAAAGCAGAGGAAGGGAGCAGTGCTGGGCAAGTTCGCATCATTTTATGGCCTTTGGCCTGAAGATGGGCAGCTACGATGCTGGATAGGTGCTGTTACTGGAAGGACCCAAGCACAAAGTTCGGGGCAGAGTTTGAGCCAGGGGAACCCCAAATCCTGCAACATCTCTGCTCATTTTTCTGCCTGTTTTTTTTTTTTTTTAAAGATTTTATGTATCTTTTTTTAAAGTTTTTAATTTTCTTAAAGATTTTATTTATTTGAGATAGGGAGGGAGAGCAAGCGAGCGAGAGCACAAGAAGGGGGAGTGGCAGGCAGAGGGAGAAGCAGGCTCCTCACTGAGCAGGGAGCCTGATGTACGGGGCTCAATCTCCGGACCCTGAGATCATGACCCGAGTCAGAGGCAGACATCCAACCGACTGAGCCACCCAGGCGCCCTATTTATCCATTTTAGAGTGAGAGCGTGAGCGAAGGCCGGGGGAGGGAGAGGGGGAAAGAATCTTAAGCAGATTCCTCACTGAGTGCGGAGACTGACGTGGGGCTCCATCCCACGACCCTGCGATCATGACCTGAGCCAAAACCAAGAGGTGGACACTCAACCGACTGAGCCACCAGTTGGCTGGTTTTTGAAATGGTGGATTTATGGGCCAGAGTTTAAGCAGCTCAGCTAAGAGAATAGGACAGATTTCTGCTGGCTCCTGTTGTAGGGGAGAGTTTTGAGTTTGAGTCTAGCCAAATTACTTATCCACAGCCTTCAAAGGAATGTAGCAGAATGTAGCGTCTCTGCAGCATATCATTTATACTGTGTAGGGTACCGCTTAGTATTGTTAGAGTTTGTAAAATACAGGGAAGATGAAAATGTGACCCTTAGTCCAGAGAAAAGGCAGCAGTTGAGACTCACCCCAAGGTGATGACTGGTTGGAATCCTCAGGTGGGTGTAAGTGTGCTCGGGACGTAAAGGAAAACATGCTTATAGTGGGAAGTAGGAGATCTCAACAGAGAGAAACTGTTGAAGAAGAACCAAATGGAAATTCTGGAACTGAAAACTGTAATACCTGAGAAAATTAGGGGAGATGGGGGGTGACGGAAGAAAGACTGAAGGCTTGGTTGGCAGAAATGATTCAAGAACAGAGAGGACAAAGATGGAGACCAGAAAGGGGCGGGGCCTCGGGACGCCGTGTCAGCAGGTCTGACGCACCTGTGATTGGGGTCCCAGAGGAGGGGAGCTAGAGCAGGGGGCATAAAAAATTTGTGCAGTACTAACTGAAAATTTCCCACGTGTCCTGAAAGACGTGTATGTACGGATTCATGGAGCTCAGTGGGGTCCGAGCAGGAGAAAGAAAAAGAAAACTTTGCTTCGGTTCATCATAGTCAGACTGCTAAAAATCAAGAGAAAGAGAAAATCTTGAAAGCACCCGGAGGAAAGGAAGACATTTCACATCCCCAGTCACATGAAATGTCGCCGCCTTCTCTGCAGAAACAGGGGAATGACAGCCTCACAGCTCTGGAGGGCGGTGTGCGAGGAGTTAACCCAGAATTCTTTATTCAGCAAAAATATCCTGTAGAATAGAAGTGAAAGAGATTTTAGGTAAAATACAAGAGCATTTTAGGTGAAATACAAGAGCATTTATAAGAGCAAATACATTAGCAGCTTGCTGTAAGAAATGCTGAGGAAACTAAAGACAGTCCTTTAGGCGGAAGGGACGTGATACCATGTGAACACTCGGTCTTCAGGAAGGAAGGAAGAAGTGGTGAAATGGGAAGTAAAAATAAAGAGTTTTCCTTTTAATTCCCTTAAATACGACTGTTTACAGCGCGGAGTGGGGTTTACACTGTCTGTAGATGGGATGCACGTATCGTGTACTGTGAAGAGGCTCGGGCGCAAAGACAGACGATTGCAAGGTTCTTTCTTACCTTTCTTTTGTGCTGAGCTTCTCTTCCACGAGACTGAAAAGTTGGTGTGTAATGAAATCTCTAGAGCAGCCACTTACAAAATGATGCTAAAAAGCCAATACATAAATTAAAATGGAATGCAAGGCAGTATTCCGTTAACTTGGCCAAAAGCAGGCAGGAACAGGGGTGCAGAGAAACAAGGAGGGGCAGAGACAGCGAGTAGTAACGTGGCACGTAAGGAATTATCTCAGCCACGTAAGGAATTCCACTACGCGCAAGTGGACAAAACAGGCCAGAGAGCGGGGTCGGCAGAATGGGTGAAGAAGAGCCGTTGAGGTGCTGAGAGCGACACCCACTCTTAGAATATGACACAGTGGCTTGAGAATGGACAGATCGAGATCTGCCGTGCGAGTAGGAAGCCCGAGTTCGCGGGGACGTGCATATCCACCTCAGACAAAGTGGACATCAAGTAGAGACGGGCGTTGCCGGCAAGAGGGGGGGCAGCTCACGGGATGAAAAGGTCAGTGATGAGGCACAACCGCTGGGAATGTGTGTGCTCCTGACAAACGGGGCTCGGGGATACATAAGGCAGAGATGAGCAGAATTCCAGATTTCGCTGCCATGCCCCCAGGGCAGGCCCAGCGGGTCCCGGGCAGGTCGTGGGTGCTGATCCCCCGGCACCTGGACCAGCAATGTGCGCGTTGCCTGAGCCGGGAGCCAGGAAGACGTGATGCCAGGAGGGAGTGCTTGTGGCCAAGGAGGGTGCGGGGTGGGGGGGGGTGCGCAGCAGTTGGATGAGCCTCGGCATCTCACTGGAGAGCGTGGGCTTGTCGGGAACCCAGCGTCTTGGGAGGGTTTGGTATCACCGGGTAGGTGGATGCAGGCCTGGCAGGTGAGGGTGTTCCAGGGATGGAGGGGGCCAGCCACAGCCCCCCTGGACCGGAGCGGGGTTCACGGGCTGGCCTCTGCAGCCCGAGGATGGGTGAACAGAGGGTCGGTGGTTGGGGTCTTCTCACCAGCCAGTCAGTGTTTATCAGTAAAGTTGTGCCATATTAAAAACCCCGACAAAAGTAAGAGTCCACGTACCCAGGGGTAAGAGCGCTTTCCGTTCTCTGTGAGACGGTGACCGTGTCGCACACGTGGGGTAGTTTCGCTCGCGGTCCTTCCTGGGCAGCGTGGGCCCGGCCTGGGCGGTTGCTGCTGCCCCCCTGCCTGCCCTTGCCGAGGAGAGGCGGGGCCCCAGGCCTGCCACAGGAGCCAGGGCACGTCGCCGACACCCCCAGCAGTGCTGGGACATGGGTACCGTCTGTTGACGTGCAGCAGGGGCGCGGTTCTGCCCGGTGCAGAGGCCGAAGAGACGCCTCGAACTGTGGACTGCGTGCGCGGGTGTTTAGTGGGAGGGTGCTTCCCTCTGCCGGACGAGTGCGGCTCCCGGTGGCGCACCCAGCACCCCGTTCCCCAGGGCCCGTGGTGCTGCAGTGGGCTAACCGGGGGATCGCTGGCGGCCCGGAGGCTGTCCTTGTCTGAGTAAATGTTTCATTGAGGTAGGACACAGGTGCACGGTGGCGGCCTGTGCAGGGGGACGCGTCCCCAGTGACCCCCAGCCAGCTCAAGAAGAGAACACACCAGCCCCGAAGCCCCCACCCCTCCTAAGGGCCACCGCTGCCCCGGCTTCGGCCAGTAGAACCCCCGTTAGCCACTTGGACTTCACGTAAGCGGACCGCACGTTGTGAGCCGTGCCGCGCCTGGCACGTGTGGGGTCCGGCTGGTGCGTTGCTGCAGCCTGGTCCCCCAGCTGAGTGTGGCGCTCTGGTGTGTGCAGCGTGCCGTTCCCCTGGCGACGGGCACGGGGTTTGTGCGATAGGTGGCAGCAGGTAGTGCGAGGGGGTCCTCCCTCCTCCCTGTGTGACCCAGCGCAGGTTACCTAACCTCTCTGAGCTTCACTGGGACAGTGGGCACAATAATCCCTACCTCCTGGGGCAGTTAGGAGGGTCAGAGCAGAGTGGATATCTGGTGCCAGGTGGAACGCCAGCCCAGGCCTCCCCTCTCGTTGGCCCCTTGGCCTCTTGGAAGCCCACCGCGGGGGTCGTGGAGCCTGCCAGTGGCTGTGCGGCCCCCCAGCAGGACTCCTGTGATGGATTTCGGGCAGTGAGGCCCAGAACGGCCCAGAATAGCGGCGGGGGCGGTCCTCACTCCTGCCCCAGTTCTGGGCTGATGCGGGTGCGGAGCCTGGGCCCCTGGTGCCGGTGAGGCGGCGTCAAGCAGCTGGAGGCGTGCGGCCCCGGTCAGCACTAGCAGCACCGCGGATGCCTGGTCTCCGTGTGTGCGCGGCCGCTCCAGGCTCTGCTGCGTCTAGCAAGTGCCGCTTGTCACACTTGGTGCCCGGCTGTCAGGGACGCCTGCTCCGAGGCCCAGGTGCTGGCCTCCGGCCCCCTGATGCTTCTCGGTCGGGCGTTGGTGGGTTTCAGATCTCCCAGTTCAGAGGTGGGCTCTTGGACCCCACGGTGCCTCCGCTGGCCCCGGGTGCAGGTGTGCACGTGTGTCTGTGTGCGCTCGCCCCGTGACCGCCGTCCCGTGTCTGCCGCAGGCCTTCCAGAGCAGTACTACAGCCTCACTTGGTTCCTGAGCCCCATCCTCGGCCTCATCTTCACGCCCATCATCGGCTCCGCCAGTGACCGCTGCACCCTGAGCTGGGGCCGCCGGCGGCCCTTCATCCTCGCCCTGTGCGTCGGCGTGCTCTTCGGCGTGGCACTCTTCCTAAACGGCTCTGCCATCGGTAAGTGTCCCTCCGCCGCGGCCCGGGAGACGGGCTGTGCTCTCGGCGCCGTAGGTCAGCCTGGCCGGCCGCGGGCTGGCGCAGGGCTTCCGGGCTGTCCTGGCAGGGCTGGGGCCGGGCCCCACGTGGGAACGCCGTGGGGACCCGTTCACAGGGAAGCACTTCCTGTTGTGACCCGCTGGTGTCCCCTGCGTATCTGACAGCGCGTCCTGTTTCCAGCGTTGTTTCAGAAATTCCCCCTTCTTTTTTCTCCTTTTCTCAGACTTGGTATTGAAAGTGGCCAGACCCAAGCCCATACTTGTTTTTTTGTCTCGTGTACTCATGGTTTGTTTTGCCTTTGTTGTTGTTTTGTTTTGTAATTAAAGCCAGTCTATGTGGGAAAATAGTTTTTGCCCTGAGGGAGCCCATCAAAACCATTCAAAACAAGACCTTGTTTTCTGGCAGTGACTTTTTAAGACCGAGGCTTCATCTGTGTTCTCACGAATGCCAGTGGGCGCCAAGTCTGCGTCAAGTGAGGTGGAAGCGGTGACGCTGGATCACTCACGGAGAGGCCCCAGAAACCCTCGGTTTCTCAGGGGCCTGTGTGGGGCTGGGCTGGGTCCCAGGAAGGCCACTACAGGCGGCTGGCCAGAAGTCCAGAGGGAGCAAGGGGGCTGCTTTCCGGGAACCGTGGGCATGGGGCTGCTGGTGCTCTCAGCCTGTCCCCTTCAGCCTACGGAGCAGGTGTCCCTTGCCAGCACTTTGACCCAGAGAGAAAGCGTGGCGTTCTGCAAAGCTGTGTCTGTGGGGCCGGCATGGCAGTGACGTGGGGGCTCTGGCCTCCGCCTGGCACCCTGTCTAGCTGTGCTCACGCTTCTCCTGGGCTTCTCCCCTGCACCTCCCATGCTGCAGCTAACTTGCCCCAGGGCCCAGGTTCTCTACCCACGGCCCCTCCGCATCCATGGGTACAGGATGCCAGCTGGCCTCATGGACCCAGCTGTAGCTCGGCCATCGGGGTACCAGGTCTCTGGGTTCACGGCAGGTGAGATGTGGCATGTGATTGCTGCTTCCTTTGAGTGCCTACAACCTGCTGAGGGAGGAATTGTCCTGGAAGTGGGGCCATTCCCGTCGCTCCTCAGAGCCGCACCTTTCTGGAACACGGGCTGCTCCCAGAATGTGCTTGACGACCCCGGGGCAGGTCATGAGCACGTCCGTGGGCTGGGGTGGTCTGTCACCAGAGGTCTGATTGTGGCCCTCCGCACAGCTGGCCCGTGTTTCTGGCTTGGTGCCTTGGGTGCGGTCTGAGTACGACACGTCATCAGTGTTGGCCTTGGAAGGTTCATTCTTCTTGGAAAATAAACACATGCTCACCACGGAGCATCAGTGAGACAAACTTAGTCTTCCACTGGAAGGTGTGAAACTACAGTGGAGGACCAGGGAGACCCGTCACGTGTTCAGTAAGCGCCGAAGGAGCAGCCCCGCAGGCCCTGGCCCCGTGTGGTGCGTGTGACTGTGTCACACATCGCCTTTTCTCCGAACACGGTCCTTCTTCCCCAGTGAAGGTTGGGGAGCAAGGATCATTTTCCCTTTTTAGTTGCAAAATGTGAAGGTAAGTAAGCTTTGAGGTTCACCGAACAGTTAATGTGACCGGGGAGCAGAAGTAACCCTGCGAATAACAGAAATGGAAAAAACAAGGCCTGTCTTCTGTACTGAACGTCTGTGCCCAGGAGCACGCCCCTTTCTGGCGTTGGCAAGAGCGTCCCCATCTCCCCTTGTAGGTGGCCGTCTGCTCTTAGGAGCTGAGATCTGACTGCCCCTGTATGTTTGGTCAGGTCTGTCCCTTGGCGATGTCCCCAACCGGCAGCCCATTGGCATCGTCCTCACAGTGCTGGGGGTGGTCGTCCTGGATTTCAGTGCCGACGCAACCGAGGGCCCCATCCGGGCCTACCTGCTGGATGTGGTGGACAGCGAGGAGCAGGACATGGCCCTTAACATCCACGCCTTCTCTGCTGGTGAGATCTTGCCCCTGGCCCCCAACCCTTACCCGGCTTGTCCCAGGTTGACCAGTGTAGGGGAGGCTGTTCCCAAGGCCCTCCTCCCCACATCGGGCGGCACTGGATGGTGCTGGTCAGTGAGGCGGTGAGCAGGCTGCTGCTAACCTCCCCTTGTACTCGGGCACTGTTCACATCCGTTGGGAACAGCAGCTTCCTGAGCTTAAGGGATGGCGATCAGTGCTGCCCAGAGTCCCGGGCAACCATCTGTTTCCTATCCTGGCAGATAGCTGCTCCTGATTCCTTAGGCAGGAGTCTGTTAAGCCAGAACTCCAAACCTACGGTCAACTGTAGTTTCTCATCTTATTTTTCCTACCATTTATTCATTTTCCATCCCCAAAACTTGTCCTGACTCAGGACATAGCTACGAATGCTGGCTCTGGTCGCGATTGAGGGTGAGGGCCCTTCGAGATCTTTCCTAGCTGCGCGCCCCCCCCCGCCCCGGGAGGCAGGGTCGAGGTGCCCCACATTGCTCACGGGCTCCATCTGTCTCTCCCACCCACTCAGGCCTTGGCGGGGCCATCGGCTACGTGCTGGGGGGGCTGGACTGGACCCAGACCTTCTTGGGCGCCTGGTTCCGGACCCAGAACCAGGTGCTCTTCTTCTTCGCGGCCATCATCTTCGTGGTGTCGGTGGCCCTGCACCTGTTCAGCATCGAGGAGGAGCAGTACAGCCCCCAGCAGGAGCGGGGCGGGGAGGTGGCCGACGCCCTGCCCCCCACCACCCGTGCGAACGTTCTGGATGGCGGCGTGGCCCTGTTCCCCGAGGAGGTGCAGTCGGAGCACGAGCTCACGCTGGACTACCTGAGCGTGGACATGGTGCGCAGCAAGAGCGACTCGGTGCTGCACGTGCCGGACGCCGCCCTGGACCTGGAGCCCGAGCTGCCCTTCCTGCCCGACATCGAGCCCTCCATCTTCCACGACGGCTCGTACCCCGGCACCCCCCGCAGCACCAGCCAGGAGCTCACCCGAGCCAGGCCGCCGCCCCGCCTGGCCTCCCTGCTCAGGGAGACGGCGAAAGAGGACGAGACGCTGCTCGATAATCACTTGAATGAAGCCAAAGTGCCCAACGGCGGCGGCTCGCCGCCGAACGACGGCCCCATGGGCTACAGCAGGGCGGACGGGAAGCCCGCTGCGGCGGCGGGCTCCATGAGGCGGCGCAGGCACATGTTCCGGCGGCAGGCCTCCAGCACCTTCTCCTACTACGGCAAGATCGGCTCCCACCGTTACCGCTACCGGCGGGCCAACGCCGTGGTGCTCATCAAGCCCTCGCGCAGCATGAGCGACCTGTACGAGCTGCAGAAGCGGCAGCGACAGCGCTGCCGTGGCCGGCACCAGAGCGGGGCCACCACGTCGAGCGGCGACACGGAGAGCGAGGAGGGCGAGGGCGAGACCACGGTGCGGCTGCTCTGGCTGTCCATGCTGAAGATGCCCCAGGAGCTGACGCGCCTGTGTCTCTGCCACCTGCTCACCTGGTTCTCCGTCATCGCCGAGGCCGTCTTCTACACCGACTTCATGGGCCAGGTCATCTTCGAAGGGGACCCCAAGGTGAGCGCCCGGGCGCGCGTGCCCGCGGCTGCGTCCGAGAGGCTGCTCCCGGGGCCCGTGGGCTGGGTGCAGGCGGCCAGCATGCAGCCCTGCGGCTGTGGTTGGAGGTCCACAGAGTCGCTGGGAACGCCGGCTTGCGGGGGGGCACTGCCACCGCTGTGCACCAGCCTGCCCCAGGGCTCCGCGGCTCCACGGAGGGCCCCTCTGCCCCGTGGCCCGGCCCAGCCGGGACCTGCTTCTGTTCCCTGTGCCATCAGCTGGCGCCGACCTGTGGCTGCGTGGCCCGGCATTGGGCCAGATGGCCTCAGCCCAGGCTCCGGCACAGGGCAGGGGCGAGGCTGGGGCGGGGCGGGGGGGGTTCACACCACCTGCTCGGGGCCCAGCCAGGACTGTGGCTGAGTCTCCTGTCGGTCAGTGTAGCGTTCATCACTGTTTGTAAAGTGAACAGCCTGCCTGCAGTTGAGATGTAAAGTCACTTTCTTTGCCCAAAGGGTGTGGCACGTGAGCCCTGCCCCCCTGAACCCCAATCTCATTTCTGGAACAGGCCCCCTCCAACTCGACCTCCTGGCAGGCCTACAACGCTGGCGTGAAGATGGGCTGCTGGGGCCTGGTGATTTACGCGGCCACTGGTGCAATTTGCTCAGGTAAGCGATCCTCAAGGTGGAGAAGCGTTGCTCCCTGGGCGATGCTCAGTGACGGGAAATAGGGCCAAGGTCATCCTGCTCGGAAGGCGGGCCTGACTTTGAACAGGACTGTTGTTCAGGGGCAGACACGTGGAAACTTGTGTGTCTAGAATTGGGCATCCCGAGACCCCATGCAGGCTGTCCTCTGTGTGTTGGTTCCTGCCCCGGGGCTCCTCAGAGAGGGTCTCTGCTGGGGATGGGGTCAGGGGAATGGGGGGACTCCAGGAACCGTGCCCGCAAGCCTGGGAGAGGGGTCTTTTGCATCTCAGCCAGGAGGACAGGGAGAGGTGGTGCCGGCATCCCAAGACCTGTATGAGGGCGTGAGGTGTGTTTGCAGCCGTCAGGGTGGCTGTGGGAGCAGTTTGCCGTGGGGGAGAGGCCTTTCCCTGGAGGTGCATTTTATCCTTGAGGATGGGGGTCGGGGTGACATGCTTAGGCACACCTTCCGGAAATGGGGCACAGTCAGGGTCCAGGGTCCCCTAAACAAGTCTGGCCTAGGTCCTGCCCATTCTCTACACGAACCGTGGAGGGGGAGGTCAGCTTTGTTTCAGCCTGGCCTGGACCTGAGGATGGCCAAGGTGAAGGCCATGAAGCAGTGGGAAGCCCGCCTGACCGTCACCACAGCATTGTCTGTGTTTGACAGAGAAGTTCTCAGGAAGCCTCAGAGATGCTTCCTGGGGGAGGTAACATTAAGCCACTGGGTCAGAAAGGGTCCGCAGGCGTCTGTCCCTCTAGACCCAGGGGTTTACCCGTGAGGAAACCAGCCACAACTCGAGCTCCCACGTCAACACTGGGTGTGGGGCTGGACTGGTGGGAAGGGTCTGGGCCAGGCCGGCCTGCGGGGTGGGGAAGCCCCAGGGAGCCGCAGGATGGGACCAGGCTCCGGGCTCTGGGACCCAGGAGGGCTCACGTCTGAGGTGCTGGAGCCCCGGGGAGTTGAGTGAGGCACGATTTGCTGCAAGCTGTTGGGGGCGAGTGGGCCGCGATGTGGGGGCCGGTGGGCATCGAAGGAGCCTCCGTGGAGTAGAGGCGGCGGGGTGCGGTGGGGGGCGCCCGACAGGAGTGAGGTGGGCACGCAGCTCAGGGCCTTGTGGCCACACTCTCTCTACAGCCCTGTTACAGAAGTACTTGGACAACTACGATCTGAGCATCAGGGTCATCTACGTGCTGGGGACTCTGGGCTTCTCCATCGGCACAGCCGTGATGGCCATGTTTGCCAACGTCTATGTCGCCATGATCATGATCAGCACCATGGGCATAGTCTCCATGAGCATCTCCTACTGCCCCTATGCCCTGCTCGGGCAGTACCATGACATCAAGGAGGTGCGTCCGTGGCTGGGGGGCGGGGGACAGTGGATGAAGTGCTGGGGCACAAGGTCACCAGCCCAAAGTGTACATCAGGTCACATCATCAGACCCATCTGGCTCCAAAGCCCATGCTCTTCTCCACTCATCTCGAGGCAGAGCTCTGTACCTTCCACTTGGGGGACATTTGGGGGGATCCCCCTAGGTCTCTGGTTCTGAAGGGACCCACAGAGCCGCCACCTGCCTGGGTCAGTCTGGCGCCCAGGCTTCCTGGCTGCAAGGCTCTGTACCTTCAGTGGCCTGGGCCACTGGTACCTGCCTGGAGGCTTCAGTTGCATCTTGAGGGATTTTGGCTGGGCACCTATTGTCCCCTCACAGACCCCTGAGGACTGCCAGCACTATCCTGTCCAGTCGAGCGTGAGGCACCTGGATCAGTCTGTGCTTTGAGTAGCTACATTTAAGAGGGAGTAGACAGGTGAAATCACTTTAATGGTGTATTTTGTTTATCGCAGTACATCCAAAACACCGTTACTTCAACACATTCAGTATAAAATATTGATTATTCTCCCCAAGTCTTGAAATGAGTGTGTATCTTATATCTACAGTTCCTCTCGACTCAGACCAGCCATCTTTCAAAGTGCTCAGTAGCCACAGTGCTGGTGTAGACCGTGGTTCTCAAACTTCAAACACAGACCCTAAAAAGAAAGGAAGAAACACAAAAAAGCTCGGATTTCTTTCTTCCTAAACCTAAACTATGTTTAATCTTCTCTTGCACAATTATAGAAGCAAAGTAAATCCACTGTGATTAGGTTCCTACCAAATACCAAACTAATGAAAATCCAAAGAACAGCATTATTTTTTAAATAAGCTTTTTAGTTGGAGCATAATATGACTACAAGAAAAGTACACAAACTGTAAGTGAAGAGCTTAGTGGATTTTTGGAAAACAAACTGGAAAAAATAATGCAGACCCAGAAACAACGGAAAGCTGGGCCTCGTCCTAACCTCTGACCCCGTGTAGTCATCTTGCCAGTGTTTGAACCTTGTGCGACTGGAATATCTGCTTTGACTTCACACCTGTGCTTACAGAGGGCGGTTCTTCCTTCCCTTTCGTCTCTCCCCATCTGACCACAGTCTGTGCTCCGTGCTGCTGGTGCTGGCATTGGGTGGCGCCCTTGTTTCTGGTCCCCCTGTCCTCTCTTCCACTGGCTGGTCTGTCCTCAGACAAGTGTTCTACTGTTCTGAGTAGCTTCGTAGTAAGACCCGAAACCTGGTGCTGTGTGTCCTTCAACTTTGTTGTTGTTTATGATTGTCTTGGGTGTTCTTGACGGTTTACTTTTCATCTAAAAGTTAGATCAGTTTCTAGGCTTTTGCATTGGAAACACATTGATTAAATAGATCAATTTGGGGAGAGTTATAAACTTTATAGTACTGAGCCTTTCGACTCATAAATATGGTATATTCTTCTATTAATTCTTACAGCATATCTGTGGATTCTTTTGGACATCATACACAATCACATCATCCGTGTATAAGACTTATTTTTTCTTTTCCAATCCTTAATACATCTTATTTATTTTCCTTGCCTTATTGCAAAGGCCAGAATCTCCAATACAATGTTGAATAGAAGTGGGACGGGGTCAGGGAGACAGGCTGAGTGGTCGCCAAGCAGCTGAGTGGAAGGCAAGTTTTGTTTCCAGACTTCTGAGCTAATAATTTGAACCACAGGGATGTTGACCGACGGCTCAGCCCCCCACCTCCGCCACGGCCCTCACTCTTGTGCTCTCTTCTCTTGCAGTATGTGCACCACAGTCCCGGGAACTCCAGGCGCGGCTTTGGCATAGACTGTGCAATCCTCTCCTGCCAAGTGTACATCTCCCAGATCCTGGTGGCGTCTGCCCTCGGGGGCGTGGTGGACGCCGTTGGGAGCGTGCGTGTCATTCCCGTGGTGGCCTCCGTGGGCTCTTTCTTGGGCTTCCTGACAGCCACGTTCCTGGTGATCTACCCGGAGGTGTCTGAGGAGGCCAAGGAGGAGCAGAAAGGCCTGTCGCGCCAGCCGTCAGGTGACGGCGGGGACGGCGGCCAGAAGCCCACTGTGCTGACACTCTCCCGGAAGCAGGGCCCGCAGGGGCTGGTGGAGACGGAGTCCGTGGTCTGAGCCTCGCCCCTGTGCACACACATTCCGGGGGGGGTGGCGGGGGGGGCAGGGGTGGTCACTGTTGCTTTGGTGGCAGCACAGAGTCCCTTTACAACACGGGGGGGGTGCGGTGGTGGTAGGGTAGGCCTGAGCCACTAGGCAAAGACACCACGCTAATTCCTTTTTCCACAATTAAAAAAATCATTTGAAATATTTTTTTTTTTTAATTGAAAAGGATCTTCTAATTTCAACTCTTTTATTCCGCAGGTATATTACTCTGCATGTTTTTAAAATTATAAGTCAGATTTACAATAGACACAAGCAGTTTAGAGAAGAGTAAGGTTTTCATTTCCAAGGTTATAATTGAAAACAAAAGTATGTGCTGTCCTTCGTGTAGCCAGTGACTGAACCTTTCCACACCTCTCTGGACGCCTGCAGGCGTCGGGACTTTCTGTCAGATCTCACGTTTTGTTGGTGCTGCAGTTATTGGAGAGTATTTTTCTTCATCATCGTTTTAGAAAACCATTTTTTTTTCTTTCAAAACTGGTTTCCCTAGAAGAAACAGCGTTTCTTCTTTTCCTCAGAGATTCTGATAGATGGCGCGAGTAGCAGGCCTGCCTCTGGGCAGTGGGAGGCGGCAGCCGCCCCCCACCCCCACCCCCACCCCCACCCCCGCCCCCGGGGAGGCAGGGCCCCAGGGACCCCGTGGGCGGGAGAGGGTGATCGGAGGGTGCCCTGCGGGGACGGCGGGCTGGGACGGGCACCCGCGGCGGGCGGCGTTCCAACTTAGCAGATGGGCCCCCTGGTAGGCGGGCGCGCATGTCCATGCCCGGACCCCTGAGAGGTGGTGGACTCTTTCATTGCACTTTGACTCGTGTTTAAACCATTTGTTGGGGAAATCATGAGGGCAGAGCTCCAGGCGTGGCCTTGCCCCCTGGGTCCTGCCGCCAGGCCTACCTCGGGTGTGTGGGGCGCTGCCCCAGCGCGCGTGAACTCCTCATGCTGGGACTCCTCTGACCTCTTCTGACCTCTTCGCCTGCTCCCCCCGCTGATGCTGGGACTGGAGCAGTGGCAAAGTGAAGCACGTGTCTGGGCCCGAAGGAAGGTCCACTCCCCCAGAGGACTCTGGCGGTGTTTTCTGCTTTCAGCGTCTAAGCCAAACCCGGACTTTGGGGAAAGTACAGTCACGAAATGCTGCAGCTACTTGGGAATGCTTTCCAAACCACAGTCTCTTTATAACTGAGCAGTTTCTGCTTCTCTTACTTGGAATGGTCAGTCTAAGCTTCCTGGTGTCACCTGGACACAGACGACGGTAATACTTCGCTGCCTCAAGTTGTTTTTTAAATAAAGAACTTTAGGATGCATGAACAATCATGCTGCAATATGATCATTCTAAAGCAAATATATATACATACATACATATATATATATATATATTTCAAGATGAGACTAAGCAGTTTTTAAATAAATTACTTGAATTTTCTGTGTATTCCAAGGACTGGCTGTCTAGCGTCCTTGGCCAGCCTCTGGCCGCGCCGCGTCTCCCAGCCGCCGGTGGTGTGCTGTGCAGGTCCTGTTTGCGTCTAAGGACCCGCGGGGCCCGTCCACTCGGGAGCCCAGGACCTCGGAGGGCTGGCAACCAGGACGCGAGCGTTGCCGCGTGAATGTGGAGCTCGGACAGGGAGAGTCTGTCCTGCTGCTGGAAGCGCCGCTGGCCTGGGCACAAAGCCCCAGCCTCCTGCGCCAGCCGGGCTGGGCACCCTGGGCAGGTCCCTGTATCCAATTCACCCCAGCCCCCGACGGCTCTGCGGCCCTGGGTCCCCCTGCATTGGTTCTCAGGGCCCCAGGAGGGTCCTCCAGGGCACAGCCTCCGTGTAGCCAGCCTGCTCCGTAGGGGTCTCCCTGCGGCCAGAAAAGTGGGAAAAGTGGGCGGCAGGGGAGTGGACTATGCGGGTGGTGGTGGAACAGTCCCGAATCCAGACGTGAAGTGAAGGCGCATGTGCCTCTGGGCCGCCCGCCTCCCCCCAGGGCCGGACTCACGAGGCCTGGCTGGGACTCGGCGTTTAGGCACAAGGGCCTTACGGTGGGACCACTGTCATCAAAGCGTGTTAGCCCTTGATGTCCCAGCCTTCCACTTCACCCTGCTCTGAAATACCAAGGACCCCAGAGGACACGTGCCTGAGGCCCCTGTTAGAAGAGGAACAGTGCAGCCCTCCCAGGACCAGCCAGCCCGGGGCCCAGGTGCTTCAGTAGCTGTCGAACGGGGATGTTTAAGACCAGTCTTTCTCACTCCATAGGTCTGGTCTGTGCAGACCTGTGAGGAGAGGGAGGTGCCTTGTGGTTTGGATCAGAGTCGTCTCCGGAGCTGCCTTCCTGGGCCCTCGTCCCGGGTGTGAGCACAGAGGGGCGCCTCTGCCCGCCCTCGCGCTGACATGTCAGGATCGCACTGAGTGTCTTAAGAGCCGCGAGGAGGAGCTGGCCGTGGGCACAACGTGGTTGCACTCTGTGGCTCGGCGGGGGTGGGAGGCGGTGTTTTCTAATGCGGTAGCTCAGGTGGGCCCCGGGGGGACGCAGGAGAATGTCCCAGAGCAGGCCATCTTTGGCCTGGTGACGGAGGGTTCTGTGACGCCCGCGCGTGCCCGCTGGGTGGGCTGGCAGGTGTCGATGCCCGGGACAGGGGTCCCGGGGTTTGTGGGCAAGGTCCGTGGGCTGGGAGTGTGGCCAGCAGTTGGTTGCTGTGTAGTGTAAATGGGCTTGTTACCAAAACAGGGTAACGTGGGTCTGATTTGCACTTTGGTTCCCTATAAAAGTCAACGAAGTAAAAAATCAAGGAGAAGACCCGAACCCGTGCAGCCGAAGTCTGGACTGTGCTGGAGCCGGGGTGGGGGGAGGCTGTCTTGTCAGGCCAGGCCGCCTGCCTCTGCACTCCTTCGTCCCTGTTCTGTTGGCAGAGCGCCGCTGTGACCCTCCGGGTGGCTGAGGGCAGGCGTCTCAGCCGGCAGCATCTGTGGCCCCCACCCCCCCCACCCCCGGTTGGAGGTCCTGGAGCCCCTGTGAGCGCCAGGCGGGGCTGGCAGGCGGCCCCCCTCCCCCGCCCCAGCCCAGAGGTGCTCAGGTGTGTTCCTTAAAGGTACCAGTGTGTGGGAAGTGGGTCTCTGACCCCCAAATCCCCAAAGGGCAACCGGTGTGTGGGGCTGGCAGGAAGCAGGACGTGGAGGGGAGCTGAGCTCGGGCTGAGGGGCGGGGCTTCCTGTCCAGCCCCCTGGGGTGGCACAGCCTGGCAGCCTGTGATGGCTTCCGTGGGTGTCTGACGACTAGAGGAGGTGCTGACTGTTCCCTTCGGGGTCTGAGGGTGCGTGCAGCAGCTGGAGATGGCAGCACCTGTCACTGACCAAGCTTGTAAAACACCCGCAGTTCACAACTGACCCACACCCGCTTCGCGAGAGACGCTGTCCGGCTGACCCTCAGTGAGGGAGCTGGCAGCCCGTCCTCGGATGGCGCTGCTGGGGACAGACCCGTCTCGTCGTGTTGTATCTGCGGGCATCCATCTTCCTGCCTGCTTCCGGGCCACTTCCCGAGCACTCCTGGAGGGGGACTCAGCCCAGCGCCCACGGGGAGTGGGGTTGATGCGGCCCAGCCCTGCACACGCGGCCCATCTGGGGGCCCAGCCTCAAAGCTGCGCGTTACCTCCTCACGGGAAGCCAGCCGCCACCGTTCCGGCCGAACCCCGAGTCTTGAGATGGCCCCTTGGCCAGCCCATCCTCCGGAGCCGGCTGCTTCCACCGGGACCTCGGGCAGAGCTGAGTGCCCACCCCCCACCTGCTGAGTCCGCTGGCTCTCCCCTGGGCTGCCGGGGGCACGTCTCCTTGTGCCATGGACTGACACGGTCTCTTGGTGGCGGAAGGACCCGTTTGCTGGAAGTGCCTCTTGTTTCGAGAAACTCCCCTGGCATCTCGGAACAACACTGTTTAGTTCCATTGTGAACTGGCCCCAGGACAACATTTCTTACCAACTCACCAAGTGGGGGCGGTGTACTAGCTCTTGCTGGTTTTAGCAACGATGTAAGTGTGTGTTAAACACATAGTGTTTTATGAGGAAAAGGGATTGTAAAGAAGAGTAATACCGCATATTAGCTTTTTTTATTAGGTGGTGAGAAGTGGCCTGATGTCTGTGTGTCTGTACGCGGAGCCCTCGGTTGGTTGTGTTGTTTCCTTCCAGGTACGCTGAGCTTGTCGGCCTCGTTGTTCTGCACACGGCTGTTTGTGGAGCACTCCATCTCCACGCACAGGCCGGCCTGGCCTCCCCCCAGGGCCTCCCTGGGTCTGTTTTGCTGTAACCCTGCGGTTAAATCTTAATAAACCTTCCCTACCAGGTGACCACGTGGGTGTGTCTGAGTCACTTCCCCTCAGCCCCTCCCTGTGTCTGCAGCTGGGCTGGGGACCTAGGCCTGCCCTGCCCCGCTCCGGCCCGGGTGGGTCTCATGGGGGGAGGGCAGAGAGCCCCAGGCCTGCCGCTGAGTGTGGACAAAGTATGGGCTCACCAAGTCTTCCGAGAACCTCACCCCACCCCCAGTTCCCAAGCCTGGGGGCCCGAGTTGGAACCCCCAGCACAGGCCACCTTCAGCCCGGGCCCCTCCAGGACAGCTCCCTCGGCCAGAGGCTCTGCCTGCCTCCCGGGGCCCAGGGGCGTCCAGGTAGGAGCCTGCTGGCTATGCCCAGAGGGCCGGCCCGGGGCTGGGGCCCCAGGACAGGTGTGGCCACAGGTCTGGCCCTCCCCTCCTGTGAAGAGGGGGAGCTGCTCAGAAGCTGGGCCTGCACCTCTGGCCACACGGGTAAGCAGCAGAAGCCTGAGGTTCGGGGTGCCTGCGCCTCAGGCTGGGTGGGGCCCTGGACGGCAGAAGCTGCTGCCACCCCCTGGGGTGGCCCCGGAGGAAGCCGGGGGGGGGGGGGGGAAGGGAGGGGAAGTTGGCCTTGCCCAAGGCCACACGGCCAGGGATATCTGAACCCAGGGCGGGGCGCTGGGAGGGAGGGAGGGAGGGAGGGAGGGGCCGTGTGGTCCCGGCGGGGTCCCTGGGGAGGGGGTGGTGGCTGAGGCTGGAGGCCCCTGGACCTCTGTGCAGCCTTCCTGCTGCCCCCACAACGCCCCCTGCCGCCCACCCGGCCTCCGTGAGCCTCACCTGGTGCAGGTGTCCGGTGGCGGGCGGGGGGGGAGGGGGCGGGGGGGGGCAGCCCGCCAGACTCCGCACATGCTGACACAGAAACCACGTGTTGGTTTGGTTTGGTTTGGTTTTTAGAAAAAACGGAACCACACGTGCGTTTGCAATCGACATGTTCTGTTTCGCAAAATATTTCATCATCATATCCGTATGTATAGGTCTCCTACATCCTTTTAATAAGATGAACAGAGGGTTCTTGTTTTGGGGGTTTTCTGCTTTTTGTTAGTTAAGTTTGTATCTGTCTACTGTGTATATCTCCTCTATCTTTCTAAAAATGCAGCACTAATTTACTTTTTCTGGGTGATGCACTTTAGGATTTTCCTGGGAAGAATGGGACACCTCAAGGAGGACCTATGTAGACAAGAACAATTTATTTGTGAAACAGTTAAATTATTGAGAGAGCTCACATCTGCCTTCTAACTCCATCTGGAGAACACATTGGTTGTAATTATCAGTCTTTTCTTCGCTTCCACTAACATGGCTCTTTGACATCATTATGTTACTTGGTTCTTCCAACGAAATGGAAAGGAGGAGACTGTACTATAATTTTTAGATCTCTGAGTGGTTACTCAGAGACCAGAAGGCAGACACATGTGTTCTATTCCAGGCTCTTAGAAATGGTAGAAAACACACATACACTCCGACAAGGGTAGGAATCCTGGAAGGATGGAAAGCAATCAGACCAGAGAAGGAAACACAATCTGAAATGCTCCCAGGGTAGTTTTGTGAAGGGTTGGAAGGAGGTTCCGTGGAGAGGGGGATTTGGAGGCAGTGCACATACCCCATAGCGCTCTGGCGGGGGTGGCCGCTCTGGGGGTGAGGGCCTTACCGAAGCGGCCTCTTGACCAGGCTCAGGAGGCTTTGGACTTGGCTGGGCCTGCACGGTACAAAGTGAGCAGAGACTTGGCATCATTTTGTTCATTTGAACACTGCATCAGTAAAGTATGTAACCGATGATTCATCGTGACTTGTTTCTTTGATTTCTTTTTTTTTTTTTTTGCTTTAAAAATTAGGTATGGCATGATTTATATGCAATAAGATGGACCAATTTGAAGTGCACAATGCGATACGTTCTGACAAATGTATACAGTGTGTATCCACCACTGCAATCACGACCTCTGATGACAAACGCTTCTGCGGACAGCCCGGCAGTTCCACTCCTGGGGGTATGCCCGAGAGAAATGAAAACCTGTGTTCACACTCACACAGAAACTCCTATCACACGTGCTCACGGCAGGGTATTCTGTCACACGGAGAGGTTCCCTTGTGCCCCTCTGTAAGGCCTCTCCTCCCCCCACCGCTTATAAGTGTAACAACCATGGATCCGCTTTGTGTCACCGTAGAATCACCGTGTGCTTCGTTTCTCCTGCTCAGTTTACATTTTGGGGGCCCATGTTATTTCAAGTATCATTAATTTGTTCCCTTTTTGTTGTTGATCAGGATCCCATTAAATGACTATACTCCACAGAACAGTTGATGGACATTGAGATTGTTGCTACTTTTTGGTTATTGTGCCCAAAACTGCCCCAAACATTGGATCACAAGACTTTGGGTAGATGTAGAATTTCTGTTCTCATTAATAACTACCTAAGGGGGATTGCCGGGTCACGTGCTAGGTGTATTTTTAACGTTATAAAAAGCTACCGAACGTTCCCGGGGGGCCCCACGACTCTGCTCCCACAGCCATGAGCGAGGGCTCTAGAGGCTGCTGCCTGTGCTTCCCAGCCCCCGGCCGGGCCAGCTCACCCAGGGTGGGCCAGTCCCCGACTGGGCGGCTCCCGCGAGCACTTGGACGCCAAGCATCTCTTCCTGGGCTTGCCGTTTGTACATCTTCAGTGAAATGTTGAACTGGATGTTCTGTCCTGGTTTTTAGTGCGTTTTCCTTATTATTAGGTTTTTAAGGCTGCAAGTGCTGATTACTATTTTCTCCTAGGCTCAGAGAGAAAGAAGTGTGCCTTGTTCCTGAGTTCCGAGGGAAAGACTGAGTCTCTGGCCATGAAGTACGACGGCGAGCTTTCGTCCTGAGCGGACGCTGAATTCCCTCATGGGCTCTTTCTGAATCTAGTGAAATGAGCATGTGTTCCTCGTTTTGAGTTTGTTAATACGGTGAATTACATCATGGTCTCGAATATCCTACCAGTTCTGGGATGAATTCTACTCAGTCATAGGTATTATCCTTTTCACTTATTGCTGGATTTTTTTTTTTAATATTTTTATTTATTTATTTGAGAGAGAGAATGAGAGAGAGAGAGCATGAGAGGGGGGAGGGTCAGAGGGAGAAGCAGACTCCCTGCCGAGCAGGGAGCCCGATGCGGGACTCGATCCCGGGACTCCAGGATCATGACCTGAGCCGAAGGCAGTCGCTTAACCAACTGAGCCACCCAGGCGTCCCTGCTGGATTTTTTTTTTTAAGATTTTATTTACTTATTTGACAGACAACAAGAGAGGGAGCACAAGCAGGGGGAGTGGGAGTGGGAGAGGGAGAAGCAGGCTTCCCAAGGAGCAGGGAGCCCGATGCGGGGCTCGATCCCAGGACCTGGGATCATGACCTGAGCCGAAGGCAGACACTTAACTGACTGAGCCACCCAGGTGCCGCTATTGCTGGATTTGAATTTCTAAAATGTTGTTAAAGATTTTAATGTTTATATTTATGAAGGGAAATGGTGTTTGTTTTTTTTTTCTTTGTAATGTCTGGTTTTGGTATCAAGGTAATATTGGTATCATAAAATGAGATAGGGAGGTGTTCACTTCTTATTTTTATGAAAAAAATTAGCATAGAAATTACATGTTATCCTTGTATGTTTGGAAGAATTCATCAGTGAATTTTTTAAAAGATTGATTTATTTATTTTAGATAGAAAACACGTGAGGAGGGCGCAGAGCAGAGGGAGAGGGAGAATCCCAAGCAGGCTCCATGTTAGCACAGAGCCCAATGCAGGGCTCCATCCCACGACCCTGAGATCATGACCTGAGCCAAAACCAAGAGTGAGATGCTCAACCAACCCAGCCACTCAGGCGCCCCCACTGGTGAATTCTTTGTGAAATTGTCTTCATGTGAAGGTTTTAAACTATGGGTTAAATCTCTTGATTAGAAATGAGGCTCTTCAGGCTATTTCTTCTGGAATGAGCTTTGTTGGTTTGTGCCTTTGAAATAATGTTTACGTTCCAGCCATGTTGTCAAATTCACTGGCATCAAATTCAAAATATTCCCTTACTGTCTTTTTCAACAGCTGTAGGATCCATAGTGATTTTTTTGTTCTGGTTTTTGATTGAGGTGAACTGACATACGGCGACAGACACAGTGTGCGAGCCTGTGAGTTTTGACACATGCACACCTCTGAGTAACACGCGCATTCTGCACAGAACATCTTTCTCACTGCAGAAAGTTCTCTCTTGACGCCTTCCAGTTCAATCCAGTCCTACGTTTACATTGATTAGATACCAGGCAACCACTGATAGGAACTTAGCATGGATTAATTTTGTCTGTTTTGGACTAAATGTGGATGGAAACAGAGTCTGTAGCCTTTCTGCCTGGCTGCTTTCAGGCGCCTGGGTGGCTCAGTCGGTTAAGCATCCAACTCTTGATTTCGGCTCAGGTCATGATCCCAGGATCGTGAGATCAAGCCCCGTGTTGGGATCCCTGTTCACGGGGAGTCTGCTTGTGGTTTTCTCTCTCTCTCTCTAAAATAAATAAATCTTAAGGAAAAAAACAACAAACAACCCCGAGGTGTGGAATCGTGGAGTTGTATGGTAGGTATGTGTCATTAAGAAATTGGCAAACGGGGGGCGCCTGGGTGGCTCAGTTGTTAGGCGTCTGCCTTCGGCTCGGGTCATGGTTCCAGGGTCCTGGGATCCAGCCCCCCATCAGGCTCCCTGCTCAGCAGGAAGCCTGCTTCTCCCTCTCCCGCTCCCCCTGCTTGTGTTCCCTCTCTCGCTGTGTCTATCTCTGGCAAATAAATAAATAAAATTAAAAAAAAAAAAAAAGAAATTGGCAAACGGGCACCTGGGTGACTCAGATGGTTAAGCGTCTGCCTTTGGCCCTGGTCGTGATCTCGGGGTCCTGGGATGGAGCTCCGTGTCGGGCTCCCTGCTCAGTGGAGAGTCTGCTTCTCCTGCTCCCTCAGCCCCTCCCCGCGCTTGTGCTCCTGCTTGCTCTCTCTCAAATAAAATAAATCTTAAAAAAGTAAAAGAAACTGGCAAACAGTTCTGCCAAAGTGGCTGTGCTATTTTTATCCAGCAGTGGACGACTGCTGTATACACAGTAAACCCCATTTGCTGCGTATCCTCATCTGTGTTCATTATCGTGACTCTTTAATATGAGCTATTCTTTTTTTTTTTTTAAGATTTTATTTATTTATTCATGAAACACAGGGGGAGAGAGAGAGACGCAGAGGCAGAGAGAAGCAGGCTCCCCGCCGAGCAGCAGGGAGCCCGATGCGGGACTTGATCCCAGGACCCCAGGATCACGACCCGAGCCGAAAGCAGACGCTTAACCATCTGAGCCACCCAGGCGCCCCAATGTGAGCTATTCTAATGACTATCAAGTAGTATTTCATTGTGGCTTAATGTCTTTCCTAAATGACTAATGATTTTAAGCATCTTTTCAAATTGGCATCTATATATCTTCATTAGTAAAGTATCCTTTGCCCATTTTTTAATTGGGCTGTTTGTCTTTGTATTGATTTGTAGAAGCTCTTTATATGTCATGGGTATAAGTCTTCATCAGATCCAGCATTGTAAATATTTCCTTCTAGGTTTGTTTTTTTTTAACTTCTTAATGATGTATTTTAATGATGTCCAATTTATCATTTTTTTTCCTATTTAGCTTTTATTGTGTTTTCTCTAAGATATCTTTTTTTTTTTTAAGATTTTATTTATTTATTTGAGAGAGAGAATGAGAGAGAGAGAGAGCACATGAGACGGGGGAGGGTCAGAAGCAGAAGCAGACTCCCTGCTGAGCAGGGAGCCCGATGCGGGACTCGATCCAGGGACTCCAGGATCATGACCTGAGCTGAAGGCAGTCGCTCAACCAACTAAGCCACCCAGGCGCCCTCTAAGATATCTTTATCTGTACCAAGGTTGCAAAGATATTCTGTGTTTGTTTCTAGAAGTTAAAGTTTTACATCTAGATGAACCACCTCGAATTAAATTTTTTGAAGTGAGATTAGGGTTGAGCTTCTTCCTATTTCCACACATTTATCCAGTTGTTACAGCACTATTTGTGGAAAAGATTTCCCTACTGAATTGTCTTGCAACTTTTGTTGAATATCAACTGTCAATTGACAGTTTTATCAACTGATAGTCAGTTATGCGTATGTTTCTAGATCCTACTTTCTGTTCCATTGATCTATTTATGCCCACACTCTTACCGTCTTAATCACTGTAGCTTTGGGGGAAGCTTTACATTACGTACTGTGAGTTCTCCAGCTCCAATCTTCTCCAAGGTTGACTATTCAACTTTGCATTTCCATGTGTGCGTGCACACCTGCGCATGTCGAATTGTCAACGTATGTATTTTTAAATTGTGTTGGGATTTGGATTGGAATTACATTGAATCTCCTGGGCTGACTTGGAGAGAACATCTTTAGAATATTTAATCTTCTCATCCATAAACATAGTATACTTTTTCATTTATTTAGGCCTTTTAAAATTTCTCTCAGCAGTGTTTTTGAGTTCAGTATACAGGTCTAGCACATCTTTTTCATTAAATTTATTTGTATCTGATGTGCTTTTAATGCTTTCGTAAGTCATATTTTTACATTTTCCAGTTGTTTGTTAATATAGAAATGCAGTGATTATTCTGTATTGACCTGTATCCCACGATCTTGCTAAATTTGCTTGGTCTAATACTTCCTTTAAAAAAAGATTCTTTAGGATTTATGTAATTGATAATGCTGGCTGTGTATAAATAGTTTGTCCTTCCTGTCCAATCTTTTAATCATCTATTTTTGCCTTCGTGCCAAGGCCAAGACCTGCGGTGTGGTGTTGAATGGGGGGATGAAAGTGCACGTCCTTGCCCTGTTCCCAGTCTTGGAGGGGCGCAGCCGGTCTGCGGCCGTCAGGTGGGGACGTCCGTTGTGGGTTCCCGCAAGTGCCCTGTATCAGTCTGAGGATGTTTGCTTCTCAGTTTGCCAGGGTATGTATTGTGAACGATTATTTTATTCTGTCAGTTTTTTCCTGCATCTGTTGAGATAACCACTGTGGCTTTTCTCCTTTATTCTGTTAACGTGGAATTTCCAGATTGATTGTCGAATGTTAAATTAACTTTGCATTCCTGAAGCAAGCCCCACTTGGTCATGCTGTATTATCCTTTCAAAATGTTGCTGGATTCAACTGGCTAATACTTTGTTCAGGCATTTTGCATCTATGTTCATGAGGGGAACCAATGTGTACTTTTATTTTCCTGTAAGATCTTTTGTCCGGGTTTAGTACAGCATCATGCTGGTCTCCTAAATGGGTCAGGAAGTGCTCCCTATCCTTCTGAAAGACTTCTGTGGGATTCTAGTATTCCATCCTAAAGAGTTTTTGTTAGAATTCACTAATGAAACCCACAGGGCCCGCGATTTCCTGTGCGGGAAGGTTTTTGACCAAAGTCAATTTCCTTAATAGATGTAGGACTATTAAGATTTTCTATTTCTTCTTGCATTGGCTTCAGCTTCATACAGTTGTTTCTCAAGGACTTTGTACATTTCACCAAATTTATTGCCATAAAGTTGTTCACCTACTGTTTTTTTTTTTAAAGATTTTATTTATTTATTTGAGAGAGAATGAGAGAGAGAGAGCACATGAGAAGGGGGAGGGTCAGAGGGTGAAGCAGACTCCCCGCCGAGCAGGGAGCGCGATGCGGGACTCGATCCCGGGACTCCAGGATCATGACCTGAGCCGAAGGCAGTTGCTTAACCAACTGAGCCACCCAGGCACCCTCACCTACTGTTTTGATGAGATTTCAGCCTGCCTTTCGTTCCTGACACTGGTGATTTGTGTGTGCTCCTTTTCTCGATTGGTTTTACAAGAGTTTACCAATTACTTTACAGAACCAACTTTTGGTTTTGTTGATTGCTTTCCATTTCATTGATTTTGGTCTTATCTTTGTTATTTCCCTCCTTTACATATTTTGGATTAAATATGCTTTTATCTTTTCTTATATTCTTATGATGGAAGTTTAATTTTAAATCTTTCTTCTAATAGAGGTGTTTAAAGTGATAACTTTTCTTCTAAACACTGCTTTAACTGCATCCCACGAATTTTGTACTTTTTTAATTTCTTGTGTAATATTTTTATTTGACCCATAGGTTATTTGGAAGTAATGTTTAATTTCCAACATAATTTTAATTTGGGGATTTTAAGGGCATTGTTGCTGTTGATTTCTTATTGAAGTTTGGTGTGGTCTGAGAACATATTCTGTAAGATTTAAATCTTTTCACACTTATTTTATGGTCCAGCATATGATCTAGCTTGATGAACATTCTATGTACACTTGAAAAGGGGTATCCTGCTGTTGTGGGGTGTAGTGTTCTGTAACGTCAGGTCACTCTGGTGGATGGTGTTGAACCTTCTATGTCGTCGCTGAGTTTTTGTTTACTGGTTCTCTCACTTACCGAGAGAAGGGTGTGAAAATCTCCTGACTCCTAGTGTGGATCTGTTGTTTTCTCCTATAGTTCCACCACGTCTGCTTCATGTGTCTTGAAGCTCTATTAAGTGCATATATATATGGGATTATTATGTCTTATGGATTAATAACAGTATCACAAGGAACAGAATTGTCTTTTTGGCATTATGCACACCTGAGTTGGAGTCTGTTTCGTCTGACGCGAATAGCCATACCACAACTGTGCTGTCTGCCCGGTGTGCTTGTTCCAGCTTTCACGGCGCCCCCCCAACCCTCCGCCCCAGGTTGGTGTATTTAAAGCGCATCTCTTGTAGATGATGTGTGTGTTGGTCTATGTCTTCTTCCAAGGACACCTGTCATTGCATTTAGGGCCTGCCCAAAGCCAGGATGACCTCATCTTGGGATCTCCAGGGGATAGGGGACAGGACACAGGACACAGCCACAGGGCACAGGACATGGACTGGCCTTTCTGGGCCACTGCAGCTGCGGTCACGTGTTTATAAGCTCTGAGTATTTTCACGAGCGCCCAGCAAAGCAGCCTGGCTGGAGTATTCTCTGGGCCGTTCCAGGGCCCAGCAGTGGAGTGCCCTTCTTAGTCACCCCACCAGCCCAGGACTTCATGGACTAGGCCTGGACTAGGGCCCCCGGTCCTCTGGCCTCACCTAGGGCCCTGTTCCACCTCCCTGTTCCAAGGCACAGAAACCCAGAGCTTTGGAGTCCTGTGCAGCTGAAGGTCATGCCACAGCTGAGCAGTAGCAGCACTAGTTCCTGAGTGTCTGAGCCTCTTACTCACCCGGAGATCCCATGGCCTCGCTGCAAGAAATACAGACATTTCCAGGCAGTGGGGCAACTCTGCCTGGCTTTCTATCCAAGCCTTCCCCAGCCATGCAGAGAAAGCACCCCTTCATCTTCCTAAGGAATCTTCTAGAAATGGGCAGAGTCATGTGCTTTTAATTCAGACATGACAATCACATCCGATTCCAAGGTTGTCATTTGAGAACAGCCAATGCGTTCACATATCCAGAGAGCAGATCGTAAAGACGGTACCAAGCGCCCATCTGGACAACTGCAGCAGTATGGAGTGGGGCAAGCTTGTGATGGGCGTCGTAGCGCTGGGCCGGCACCCGAAGCAAGCTTTCTCTTCTACTGTTTGAAATACAGCTGGAGAGCTGAAATCATATTAGGGTCAACTGGCTTCTCGTTCAAGATAAACACTTTTTTTTTTTTTGGTACCAACTTAGTTCAGGTTTCTGAAGCCAAGTCAGGGAAGGCGTCGTCGGTCTAATGAATTCCAGCTCATCCGGGGCTTCCCGTGACAAGTCATTCATCACGGAACCTCTTCAAAGCACAGAGGAAACACTGAAGGCATAAAGTGCCCTTTCCATTTTAACAACCCCCACCGGCCACTCTATCACTGTCAAGTAAGATCTTGGAAATTATCACCAAGAATAAAGGGAATGAAAAGTCTGCATTAAAATAACAATGCATGCTTAGAAAGAATCAAGAGCAAACCCAAAATGGTCCTGAATTATTTTATAGCTCTCTCCCACCAGTGAATGTGGGGAAAGTAAGGAGACAGGATGTCAGCGTTTAATAAACAAAGGAATTTATTATTGACAAGGTGAAAATACCTGGTTATGTGTGGATTGACATGAAATAATTTATGAGTATTTCTGACAGGATTTGACTAATTTTTCATGTGTTTACAAAAGGAGAATTCAACCTTTGTTTCCTTCTAGAAGTCAGGAGCACACCCTCTTCGTAAGCACAGTCGCGGGGGCCTAAGGCCACCTAGCTGTTCTCTGCACCACATTCCCAGAACACCCCAAAATCGGGTCCATCATCTGGACCCTGCAAAACGCTTAGGTCCTGCAGACAAACGCAAGGCCTGGTCAAAGCTTTCATCTGGAGGTTCTGGACGCTACTGAGCTCGGCCCTGTCCTGGGGGCCTGATGAACACCGTCTGTGACCTCTCAGGGTGAGTGAGGTCCTGGCACAAGCCCAGGGCAGAGGGTCTAGCAGCCCCATCTGTGGCTGAGCTCATGGTGGGTCCGTCGGGGGAGAGGCCACAGGCCCTCAGACGGTGCCATCAGGGGGATGCTCCCTCCACATCCAGTAACTACGTCAAAACCTTCCTTGCTGGACACCGAGGGAGGGACATCTCAATATTACAGTAAAAACGGGTAAGAGGTTGTTTTTGCAAATACTTATTTATAGCTAATAAGATCATCTTCCGTTAAATAATACAGCACCATCTACGGAGACAGAGATGATACAAGAAGCAGACGGTTGAAAGGTACGGGACTGTGAGTGGCAGCAACTTCACTAGAAAACTCGATTATATAGGGCTATTTTAGGTGGAACTCTTCCTCTGTGATCTTTGGCAGCAAAGTCTCTCTAGGTTTCTTCATTATAAAAACTTGGCATTAGTTAAAGGAAAGAAACACAGAGCTTGCTTCAGCTGGCCCAGCCCCTGTCCAGACACCCTGAGTACAGTGCTGTCCCCTCCCTGTCCCCTCCTCGGTCACCTGCTCTGAGCAGGCGCAGCAAGGGGCAGGCACAAATCTCTTCAACCACAAAGATGTCATTTAAAGAACACCTCCTCTCATAAACTGCTGGAAACGAGGTCAGCCTAAGGCTGTAGGTCTCCTGCAAACTGGTGCTTACTGTATATTTGAATGAGTGAAGTAGAGGAAATGCAAACCAGAGACTTGAGGTCTGCCGGTCATACGTGATTTGGCTACATCGCTTCCCTCTGGCTCTGATGCTGGCCCCTAGTCGTGGGTTCTGGAACTTTCTAGACAACACACAGGGTAACTTCACAGCAGAGCCAATTAGCAAGTTGATCCAGCTGCCTGCCTGAGAAGCACCCCAACCTGAAAGGCTGTTGGTACGGTTCAATCAGGAAAGTCCGACACACCGCCTGCCCCCACTGGGGGCCCAGACTGGCTCCCCACCCCACCTTCTCCGGGGGGCACCGGAAGGGGGGCAGAACACAGACCTTTTCAGCATGTTCACCCACGTTTACTCAACTTTCCAGATGGCGATCTTCCCCTCCCCGCTGCCTGACCCGCTCAGCACGTATCTGTCCTCTGCCGAGCACAGGGTCTTCACTGTGTCCATGTGGGCCACCAGCTCCTTTTCCACCGTCCTCCTCTCGGCGTCGATGACGTAGATCTTCCCTTTGGACTTCCCCTGTGACAGACCTGTGCCGCCTACCCAGATCTGCCAGGGAGAAACGGAGGGGGCGTCGGCCACACGCAGCCTGGCCCGGGAAGGGGGGCCCCTGTAGGTGTGCTTTACCCGGTGTACTGGGTGGAATGGTCCACCCCAAATCCAAGTGCTCCTGGAGCCTGGGGGGGTGCTCTGGGGGAGGTGTGGCTCCTCGCCTTACCTGCTTCTTCACCGTGATCATGCAGCTGACCTCGGAGCAGTCCTGAAGGTGAACCGCCTGAGGGCGCCGGGTCAGGTCCTTCAGGCTCCAGACGTAGATGCTGTTGAATCCGGCACACGCCACCCAGAGCTGCTCCTGCTGAAACAGAAGTCAGGCTGTGGCTGGTGGCCCAGCGCTCCAGGGAGCCGGTCCCCACGGCGCTGCGGGGACAGATACCTCGGGGAGGAGTTGGAGACTGAGGAAGGACATGCCGATGTCCCCAACGTTCTCGCCGATCTTCAGTTCTTGACAAAGCAGTCCGCTTGACGTGACAACCACAATCCTGTTCCCGGTGCCTGCAGAGCGGAGGGACGAGTGTGAGGGCCGGGGGCGCATCTGGGGCACAGGGATGAAGCGGCTGGGAAGGTCTTCCTGGGCAGCCAGCTGCCACGCGCTGCCACCTCGCGGCCCCGGTGGCCATCACCCCGCTGTTACTGACGAGGACACGGCAGCTTTGGGACCCTTCCTCCTCTCCCGCCGCCTGAAGCCACAGCCAGTCCTCCCCGTCTGGCATGAGAAGTGAAGGCGACAGTGCCACGCATCTCCACGTGCTTCCGCGTCTGTGAATCACTCAAGGAACGTGGCTTTCTGCAAACCGAGAGAGCTGCAGGCGGCCGCACGCTCTTGCCTTGCGAGTTTGCTGCGTGTCCCCCTGCCCCTTGCACTGAGGCCACTGCGCCAGCATCACAGACATGGGGACAGGCGGGCACGGCCTCGGTGGGGGGGCGCCAGCTGGATGCAGAGGGAGGCGGGAGCCCCCAGGTGCGCCGCTCTGGCTTCCTGTCGCCAGCCAGCGCACCGCAGGCCCCCCCGACACTCAGCCTCCACACACAGGAGCCCCCTGCCCCTGGCCGCCCCGAGGACTTGGAAGCTCAGCTGGGGTTTCAGTCATGGAAACCGAGAGCTGCCATCCCATCTCTCCTTCTTCTAAGCTGGGGACAGGGTGGTTTTCCCGAGACCTCATAAGCAAAACCTCGTCCTATGATGGCCCATTAGCCAGATATGCCATCATCCACTTGGGCTAACTGGCGAGGCCCTCGTGATGCTGCGGCTGGTTAGGAACACCGGGCCCGCCCTGTGCCCCTCAGGCCCCCTCTCAGTGCACTGGACACAGAGCCCAGGAAGGGGCCCCATAGGAAGGGGCACGGGACAAGACAAGGCTCAAGAGGGGCGTGAGCAGTGGAGCAACAGAGGAGGGCTACTGTCCCCAGCGCAGCACTCTGAGGATGATGGCGCTTTGGCCTCTTGCATCTTGTAGCCGTTAGCGAGCTCTGCAGGGGTAAGGGTAGTATTCGGTCTCATTTTCAAATGAAGACACAGACTCCAAAGTGACCAGCTGTCTGGCGGCAAAGCCCGAACTGAACGCACCCACCTGAAGGCCACAGCAGACCACGGGGTGTGGGAACGGGGTCTGCTTCCCTCCTAGAAAACGACCCAGCACTCAGGCGCAGGGTGCCTGAGCAAGGGCAGCTGGCCACGCTGCCCTGGGGGAAGACACGCAGGTCTGAGGTCACATTACTGGACTAGAGAGGAAGATCGCAGCCCCTCAGGCTCACCTCACCAAGCACCTGGGGAGGAGCGAGACGCACCGCCTGGCCGGCCCTCACTGTTAGGCGCTGCCTCCGAGCACACCGACGGCCCGACGTGAGAAGACCCTGACCTGGTCCCAGTCTCTGCACTGGTGACATCTGATGAGGGACCGAGGTTTCCACTTGTTACTCTTGTTCAGAAAGAGACTTAGGACAATACTTCTCAGGCATGCGCTCTCTGTTACCTGAAGAAACCCCACTTTTCTCATTGTTGCTAAATAGGAAAACTACTTATTGTATTAACTTGGAAAATAAAAGGCATTCTGTCCTCTGTTCGCTCCCTCACTGTATGTAATAGGCACCTTTTAGCCCAGAGTTTGGTCAGCTCTGGTAGTCCAAAACGCATCTGGGCTGGACACACACACACACACACACACACACACACACACACACTGGAGATCAAGGCTGAGGCATATGGTCCTTGAAAGAAAAGAAGTAAACCCCATAACCTGCACACACACCCAGGTTTCCCTGGGGGTACTTCCCAGTTCTCCGTGGGACACTGAGGAATAAATGTTCTAGCGCTGTCACAGTCCACCTTGCTTAAGGGTATGATTTAGGGCTGCCAATGTGGCTGGAAAGAAGGAATACCCCCCAAACGAGGGAGCCCAAAAATGTATGTATAGATTCTCAAATCCTTGGCTGACTCCTGAACTGTGCATAAGCACAGAAGGCAGAATTGGAACAGTTCAAAATAGTAGCTCATCAGGCTAGAAGGCTTCGTACATACCTCAGGCACTCCCTTGCGACCCTAAAAGAGCTGTGCTTACAAAAACCAAGACTGTGCACCGGAACAAAGTGTTATGTGCTCCAGGACTAAGGTCAAAAGTGAAATATATTTACCCCAGAAAAGCCAAAAACCGAGCCTCTACACAAGAATAAAATGATTGGCCAGTAAGTAATTTAATAGCCTTCTAGAACAAAACCTAATGGTCTCTAAAGAAGGCTATGACCAGACTCTCCTAGATGTGTCATCAACAACATCCAGGATACAGTAACTCCTGCACACGCGAAGCACGAGGATACGACTAGGGTCCAACAGAAGAAGTAGTGCACACAAGCAGACCCACAGATGACCCAGGATCCGGCAGAGAAGGAGCTCAACCGGCAATTACGAATAAATTTAAAAACTCACAGGAAGATATAAAGAGGATGGGTGGACATGGAGACTTTAGAAGAGAAATGGAAATTCTCGAACTGAAATGAAAATTTGCTGGACAGGTCCAGCAGCAGACAGGACACAGATGAAGAAAGGGTCTGGTCTTAACCAAGCTAAAGCAGAGAAAAGAAGGAAAAAATTACAGCCGTGCCTGAGACCTGTGGGACATTATCCAGTAGCCTGAGATATGTATTATTATATTATTATATATATTTATATTATATTCTAATATAATTCTAGAATACACACACACACACACACAATTAAGATCCCAGAAGACACGGAGAAAGAGAATGCACAAAAATACTGGAAGGAATAATGGTTAAAAGTCTCCCCGACTCACGAAAGTAAACCGTAAGTGAGATAGACATGAAGACCTTCACACCTAAGCACGCTCTCATCCGACTCGTGAAAAGCAAAGACAACACTTCCATGCAGCCACAGAAACCAGACACGATGTATCAGCCGAACAGTAAGAAACAGGGCTGACTTCTCATCAGGAACAAACAAAGCTACATAACGATGGAAAGATATTTCTAAAGTGTGGGGGAAAAAAACACAGTCTATCAGCCTGGAATTTGCTTATAGCAGACTCAGGTGGGAAATGCTTGAGCTAAGGGAAGCGATGCAGATAGAAACCAGGTACCACGCACCCCAGAAATGGTAAACATATGGGCAAAAATCAGTGAGTACTTACGCAAAAATTTAAAAAATATTTTCTGAGGTTTATCACAGTTGTAGAAATAAAATACTGCTTTTAACAATAGTAGCAAAAGGGGCAGAAAATGGAATTGCTGATACCGCTGTGAGCTTACATGACATGTTAAGGTCGGCCGTGAGAAGGGCAGGCTGATACTGCAGTCCTTCGAGCAACCACTAAAAAGTAAAGCAAAAAATGTAGAGCTAAAAAGACAGGAAAATAAACTAAATATAAAAAATTCTTTCCTGCCTTCTTTTAGACGGAGTAACAAAAGCAAAGAAGGACAGGTGGGAAAGGGAAAGGGGCGGAGGGGACGGCGGGCTCCCACCCGAGCTGTCGGAACGGCGCTAGAAGTGAGCAGACTGGCGCGCAGCCGCTGCTGTAGACAACACGCACACACGCACAGGGCGCACGCACCCCGGCATGCGGCTGGGAAGGCAGGGCGGCCACCGTGGGACGCCACCGCACACAGCCATGGGGGCGCTGACAGTAAAAACCAGCACAGTGAAGGTGCGGAGGAATCGGAACCCACATGGTGCAGCAGCTTTGGAGAAGAGTGGGACGGTTTCTCAGTGGGGTAAATGCCGGGTTAACCCTTGGATGACCACATCACAGTATATTCGTATGACCAAATCGAACTCCGCAATCGCGGGAGTGAGCCGAAAACAAACATCACAGGTGGCCCCGCGCACAAGAGGCTCGTGAACAGCGCGGCTACAGAAGGGCCCCTGTTGCGGAGTCCGTGTGGGGAAGGCTCGGGAACAGGCAACACAGCCCCAGGCGGCAGAATCCACAACGGGTGGCCTCTGGGCAGGCGCTACCTGGAAAGGGGCACAGAGGAACTTTCCGCTGTGATGGAAATACCTAGGTACCTCACATTTGTGCATTTTACCATATGTAAAATATGCTTCAAGTTTAAAAAAATTACGTTCATGACCATCACCCTGGCATCTGGGACAGCCCAGGGAAGACTTGAAAGTGCAGACAATGTGCTCTGGGACGCTCAGAAATGCAGGACCTACGCCCCCAGGCCAAGCCTCTGCACCTCCTGTCACACCCCGGGCAGGATGCCCAGCCGAGCTCCACAGAGTCTTGGCCTGAGGTCTGTGCCGAGGTGTGCCCGGCAGGCCCTGCCCTGCTTGCCCTCGGCTGGGGGGCCGTGGGTCACACACAAAGTGACAGGGCCACAGAGGGCTCCTGGAAGGAGCAGTGATGATTCCAGGGGGCATGGGGGCTGCATTCACGCTCCAAGCAGGGCCCGGCGAGAGCAGAGGTGAGCAGGAGAGAGACAGGCAGCAGGTGGGAGGATGCCAGCGTCCTGGCCACTGTCGGGGAGGGAGGCCCGAGAAGCCACACAGACAGGAGATGAGCACGGAGCCAGCGAGCACAGAGGAGTCCAAGTTGGAAGGCTGGGAAGGTGCACAGCAAAGGAAATAGGCCTCGAGCTCGCGTTCAGTCTCCTCTTGCTGGAGCAGGGCTCCGGCGCCCCTGGGGACAGCGGGGGACCGAGAACTTACAGCACCACAGGCAGCCGTCATGCAGGCTGATGGACGAGAGCCTGCCGCCCGGCAGCTGGAACCTGCTGGTCACTCGCAGGGTGCTCACGTTCCACGCCAGGATGGTCCCATCCCTGCTGCACGAATACACCTTGCTGGTGGTGTGAACACACAAGAGCAGGTTTGGCTCGAACAGGCTTTAACCCCGAGGAGTACAAAGTTACCATTACGTACAGTTACCACCCGAGCAAACCCCATCCCTGTGGATAGAACAATTAGTTACGACGTAACGGATGCAGCAGGCAAAAATGGTTTTCTGGGGATGCCTCTCCTTGCCCTGCAGCTGCCGGCTCTGCAGAACCCTAACACGACCACGGAGTCAAATCTAGCCCCGGACACAGGGCGAGACCAAGCACGCGCCCCGTCCCAGCCAAGTTCACAAATCAGCGCCGCGTCGGCCACCAGCGGCTACAGGAGAGGGGCGGGCACGAGCCAGAGCGATGCGCGGCCCCTTCAGCCCGAGAGTGATTAATTTTCAGGTCAGTGCCTTATGTTCTGAGCGGGCCCACCTGAGGACAGATGGCACCCCTAAAACTCAGGGGACAAGGCAGTGGGGGGCTGCATGGAGGAGAGTAGCAGAGCGGGGGGGAGCACCCACGCCCTGGGCAGGGCTGCCTCTTTGCAGTAGGTGACCTTGCTCCCGGAGCCTCTGCTTCCTTCAGAGGGAAATGGGACCCCTCCTCATTCTCCAGGCTCCCCTGGGCACCTACTGTGTGCCGGGCCCTGTTCTAAGCACAGGACACACAGCAAAGAGAACAGACGGGGTGCCTGCCTCTGGGCTGACATTCTTAATACGGCAAAGACAGTGAATGAAGCAGACGCATCTTCCAGACTGAACTGTATCCCCCCAAAAAGATACGCTGGAGTCCTAACCCCCAGGACGTCAGAGTGCAACAGTACTTGGAAACAGGGCCTTTACGGAGGTATTCAAGTTAAAGTTAACAGGGTGGACCCTCATCCAGTATGACTGGCGTCCGTATAAGAAGGGAGATTTGGACACGGGCAGCACCGTGTGAAGCCGGAGAACCGGAATGATGTATCTGCAAGCGGCAGGTTCTTGGCAGACGCCCAGACCCCAAGAGCGGGCAAGGAAGGCCACGTACCCGTGGCCACTGGCCGCCATGCCTACCCTGCAGCTGGCCTGCAGGGGAACCGCTCCTCCTTGCTCAGGACCAGAAACAAGAACATCACCTGACTCGGCTTGTGACAGACCCGCTTCGCTCTCCACGGCCGGCCTGGCCCCGCGGGCAGTCGCCTACAGCGGCTGGGAGCCCTTCCTGCTCGGGGCTCCCCACCCACCCAGGAGCACAAGGGTCCCTTGTCCCAGCAGAGCCCAGCGGTACCTGGGCGTCCCGTTCTGCACAACCAGGTCCGTGACACTGGAGCGGTGGTCGGTGAGCTGCTTGTTGCAGGACATGCTGTGGATGTTGATGATGTAGATGACCGAGTCCTCGGAGCCGACCCACACCTGGTTCTGCTCCGCCATCACCATGCAGTTCTGACGCAGGCCGGGGGGAAACCGCCAACAGTCACGGCTCGTCAGCCACCGCAGTCCTACCCTACAGCTCACGGCCCACACCACGCCTCTGCTCCGGGGGACACGCGGGCCGTTCGGTGAGCCCCGGGCACATCTGCCCGAAGGCAGACGCTTAACCGATGGAGCCACCGAGGCTCCCCAGTTTTATTTAATTTGTGAGAGAGAGTGGGAGCACGAGCGGGGGGGGGCAGACTGAGTCACCCAGACACCCCTAAAAACTGATAGTTTTAATTTTACCAATAAATATTCCCGTAGGTTAGAAAAGGATGCTGGCTTACTAATTTCAAAATTAATCATTTGAAAAAGCCCTTTCTTGGGGCGCCTGGGTGGCTCAGTCGTTAAGCATCTGCCTTCGGCTCAGGTCATGGTCCCAGGGTCCTGGGATCGAGCCCCGCATCGGGCTCCCTGCTCCGCGGGAAGCCTGCTTCTCCCTCTCCCACTCCCCCTGCTTGTGTTCCCTCTCTCGCTGTCTCTCTCTGTCAAATAAAATCTTAAAAAAAAAAAAAAAAAAAAGCCCTTTCTTTTGAGGCATCTACCTGAGACCTGGCATAATTTTAGTAAAATGGGGCGCCTGGGTGGCTCAGTTGGTTAAGCGACTGCCTTCGGCTCAGGTCATGATCCTGGAGTCCCTGGATCGAGTCCCACATCGGGCTCCCTGCTCGGCAGGGAGTCTGCTTCTCCCTCTGACCCTCCCCCCTCTCATGTGCTCTCTCTCATTCTCTCTCTCTCAAATAAATAAAATCTTTAAAAAATAATAATAATAATAATTCTAGTAAAATGTCTTTCTTTAGTGGCCCAAAGATATCTTAAACTACTTTGAACTTCAAATTTCAGAGGAGGCAGCATTTTCTTGAGATAATTATCCGAGTTTCTTTCTTGTTAAACAGTACAGAGTATCTCAGTGAGATGAGTACAAAGGTGTTTTCACATAAGTGGGAGAATTTATTGCTTTACCTAAATGTTACCTGGCCTGACTGGGACCAGCAGAGATGGCCACATAATGCAGCCTTTTGATTTTATTTTAACTAGGATTTTAAGTTATTCTGTTATTAAAAAGTTTTTTTTTTTTAAGTTTTTATTTATTTATTTGACAGAAAGACACAGCGAGAGAAGGAACACAAACGGGAGTGGGAGAGGGAGAAGCAGGCTTCCCGCGGAGCAGGGAGCCCGATGTGGGGCTCGATCCCAGGACCCTGGGATCATGACCTGAGCCGAAGGTGGATGCTTAACTGACTGAGCCACCCAGGCATCCCTAAAAAATCTTTGAAATACATATTACTAAGATTCAACAGGAAAAAATTAAATTTAGAATAAAAATGATTTCCTCAATTTCTCCTTCTTGTTTGTTTGGTCTCAAGCATTATTAGACCTTAGTAAATATTTTATCTTGGGTCCTGTTACTTTATCGTCTGAGGCTCACTGTGTGGTTAGGGGGGGAAATAATTTAGTAACCTCTTGCTATCCTGGTACCTAACATGAGGTCTGCTGCTCACTCAGTGAAGAACGAGCCCAGCCCCCAGCAACACGCATCTGAATTCACGGCATTTCTGTTGTTCACAGCAGTTTTGAAAGCTTAGACTGTGCCCCAGATTGCCACATTATGTTTACATGATGGAACGTGGCCACCAAAGTTGGTGATGCTGAACACTGAGGTACCTAACTCTGCTAGACTGTTCTCACCTTAAACCTGAAAAAACAGTTTCACCTTAAAGGAGGAGGGAGGTGAGGGCTTTCCTAGCAACACCTCTTCGGACAGCAGCTTCTTTTATACGCTGAGGGCATCCTGAGCAGATGACTCCCACCAGATGATCGGTGGGAACGTACCCTGAGATGGGGGACGGTGTGGAAGAGAGGCGCTGGGCTCACTGAGCTGGACCTCAGGCCGCAGTCCCGGACGAGCAGCGCCTCCTCACCAGCAAACACCAGGATGCACCTGAAACGTGCCGGGTGGGGCCCATCGCCAGGGCCCTGGTGCCTGTGGGCACCTCACCGTGCAGCGCGGGACGTAAGACACGGTTTTCAGAGGCCTTACGAAGTCTCGGAAAAGCAGAGCTGAGTCCGCGTCCCACTGCCCGCCCCAGCACCTTGGATTGAGGGGGGTGGGGATGGCTGTTCTCGTACAAACTATCGTGATCAACTTCACTTAATTAAAGTCATCAGTCTAAAAGCTCAAACCTTAACATCATGTCGACATGCTTTAAACTGTTCTTGGTTCTCAACCCCAAATATGTTAAAATAATGCACGTTTCTGCTTGGGATCGGGAATGTGGATACGAGACAGGACTCTGCGTCCGCATCACTGAAATCCATGTTCAGGTTCCAGGCTGGGGGGCAGCTAAAGCCACCGTCCGCTCACCTAAACAAGGACACTGACAGGATAGGACGGGGTTGCATCTAGTGAAAAACCTCACAATGCAACCTCCTGTTTGTTTACCGAATGGGGCGATGCTGTGGGATAACGTGCATCCCACTGCCGTGTACGGGTGGATGTGTCCATCTTTCCGGAGCCCACAGCCCGGTCTGGGAAGCTGCCGTGTCGCAGGGCACCGTGTTTACTCACCAACTTGGAAGTGCCCACTTTAAAGCAATGCTGGTAAATCGTCCAAGAGGAAGCATCAAACACGGTCACTTTGCCTTCATTCAGAGCACACCATAACTTGGGGCGGGCATCCTCCACTTTTTCTGCTGGGTCCAGATGCCCTGAAGAGGAAAGCAACCCAAACATGTTTTTATTTTTATTTATTTTAATTTTTTTAAATTAACATATATTATTTGTTTCAGGGGTACAGGTCTGTGATTTATCAGTCTTACACAATTCACAGCACGTACCCTCCCCAATGTCCATCACCCAGCCTCCCCATCCTTCCCATGCCCTTCCACTCCCGCAACCCTCAGTTTGTTTCCTGAGATTAAGAGTCTCTTATGGTTTGTCTCCCTCTCTGGTGTTTTGTTTCACTTTTTTCCTCTCTTCCCCTATAATCCTCTGTCTTGTTTCTCAAATTCCTCATATCAGTGAGATCATATGATACTTGTCTTTCTCTGATTGACTTATTTCGCTCAGCATAATACCCTCTAGTTCCATCCACGTCGTTGCAAATGGCAAGATTTCATTTTTCTGATGGCTGAGTAATATTCCATGTATATATATATACCACATCTTCCTTATCCATTCATCTGTCGATGGACATCTTGGCTCTTTCCACAGTTTGGCTATTGTGGAGATTGCTGCTATAAATATTGGGGTGCACGTACCCTTTTGGATCCCTACTTTTGTATCTTTGGGGTAAATACCCAGTAGTGCAATTGCTGGATCGTATGGTAGCTCTATTTTCAACTTTGTGAGGAACCTCCATACAGTTTTCCAGAGTGGCTGCACCAGCTTGCATTCCCACCAACAGTGTAGGAGGGTTCCCCTTTCTCCGCATCCCCGCCAACATCTGTCATTTCCTGACTTGCTAATTTTAGCCATTCTGACTGGTGTGAGGTGGTATCTCATTGTGGTTTTGATTTGGATTTCCCTGATGCCGAGCGATATTGAGCACTTTTTCATGTGTCTGTTGGCCATTTGGATGTCTTCTTTGGAAAGATGTCTGTTCATGTCTTCTGCCCATTTCTTGATTGGATTCTTTGTTCTTTGGGTGTTGAGTTTGATGAGTTCTTTATAGATTTTGGATACTAGCCCTTTATCTGATATGTCATTTGCAAATATCTTCTCCCATTCTGTCGGTTGTCTTTTGGTTTTGTTGACTGTTTCCTTTGCTGTGCAGAAGCTTTTTATCTTGACGAAGTCCCAATGGTTCATTTTTGCTTCGTGTGACACACCTCAGGCTCCACATTCTCACTGACACTTGGCGGGGTCGGTCTTGCATCTTGGCCTTTCTAACAGTGTGAGGATTTGGGGTTTTGGATTGTGATTGGTTTGCATTTCCCTGATTGCACAAGTGGCTGATGGCTTTAACTGCCATGTGGAGGGAATCTTCTGTGGGGAGGTGTTCTGTCTCTTGCTCATTTCTGAACTGGGTGGTGTTATTCTCCTTGACTTGAGCCACTTGTTGGCTCTGCTGTGTTACCAGCATCCTGTCCAAGTCCGGACTACCCTGTTCACTCTCTTGAAAGTGTCCTTTTCTTTTTTTCCTTAAGATTTTATTATTTGAGAGAGCAAGCAAAAGAGCATGAGTTGAGGGGGAGGGGCAGAGGGAGAAGCAGGCTCCCTGCTGAGCAAGGAGCCTGACGCAGGGCTTGATCCCAGGACCCGGAGATCATGACCTGAGCTGAAGGCAGACGCTTAACCTACTGAGCCACCCAGGCACCCGGAAAGTGTCTTTTTAAAGTCCATAATCTTAGTAGTCAAATCCTCCAATCTTTTCATGGCTAGTGCGTCCATACGGTTTCCTTCTCTACCCTGAGGTCATGAACATGCTCCTCTATGTCAGCTGCTAGGAGCTTGCCTGCTTCATTCATTTATGCTTGTTAGTGCCTTCCCATGTACCCTTCCATCCACTTGGCACTGTGCGTGACCTGAGGTGTGGCCAAGCTTCGTGTTTTCCATACGGATGCACGATGTCCCAATGTCATTTGTGGTGACGACTGTCTTTCCCTCAAACCCCTGCTCGGTCGTATCACCTCTGTCATAAATCAAGGAAACACAAATGTGTCGACCTTTCTGGGGTATTCATTCCACTGGCCTCTGGGCCCCCTTGGGGAGATACCGCCCCACACACTCCTCAAGCCCACCAGGGACTGGGATGCTTTGAGGCTGGGCTTCAGTGCCGGAGGGCTGGCTCCTTAACACTCGGGTAACCCTTGCAGTCTGGAGCCACACTAACGGGTTTACCAGGACTCCCCTTCTCAGCAGGTCCTGGCTGGTTTTGTCCCTCTTGCCCTCGGTGCTGGCCAAAGCTCTGCTCCGTTCCTCGCTTCTCAGAGACCACTTCCAGAGTTGGCAGACAATCCACAGGAGAAAGGGGCTCCACCGTTCTTCATGGTGGTTTGGCCCTTCTAGATGTTCTCAGAGTTACCTAGCCCATCATGACAGGAGGCCCAGAGGCCAGTCAATGTTAATGTACAGGAAACCAAATTAGGTCTAAAAATACTCATTTATCCAGACACCACGATGAAAACTGTCTCAGTCTGTGGTGTTAGAGTCAACAAGGAGCCTTGACTGGAGGAATCTGGTCCGTCTCCAGTGGGGCAAGGTCCAACCGGGCTCTGTCCTCCTTCACGCTCAGTCTGTCACTTTGCAGCGTCTTCGGGACGATCAGTGAAGAGATAACACTGTCTTCTCCACTGGGAAACAGCTTTGCCACCCAGCTGCCATATGGCCACCTGGAACCGGTGAGCTGGGGGACAGCCGTGGAGTGAGAACCATGAAGGGGACAGGGGAGCACATCCATGGTGCTCACTGTCGCTCACCTCACACTCTGATGAGCCGAAGCAAAGTGCCCGGACCGTAAGGTTCTTTAGTGCCCAGAATGACATCCTTTGTTTTCCAACTCGGTGAGCCCCGCAAGCAACCCTCCCGCCGCAATTCTTTACAAGTCAGACTTAAAGAAAAGCATCCTCGTTCTTGCTTAGACCTGCGGCAGCACCCATTCCTGTCCGACCTTCGTTCTGCCGCAGCCTGTGGGGAGCCAGGAGGTCCGCGTCCGGGAAGACGGCCGCACAGCCGTGCCGGATGAAGAGGACCCGTGTGGTCACGCGTTCGGACGTGCAAATGCACTGACAATTCCTAAGACGAGATCCTGGGTGCAATCGCTTAGGACAGCAGCGTGGATTCAGTGCCCCCAGAGGAAAGGGTGTGAGTGCAAGCACTTTCTAAACTGTAGAGTGCTGTGCAACGTGAGGAACAGCTGGGTTGGAGCGGAGTCTCCATGGAGTGTCCACCCCATATCTGTCCCCACGGGCTCCCCCAGCTCAGGCCTCCACGATGTGGGGTCTCTGTGGCCTCCAGGCTCTGGTCTTCACGAAGCGGGGTCTCCGCAGGCTCCCCAGCTCTGGCCTCCAAGATGCGGGGTCTCTGCGGCCTCCAGGCTCTGGTCTTCATGGTGTGGTGTCTCCGCGGGCTCCTCAGCTCTGGTCTTCACGATGCGGGGGTCTCCGTGGGCTCCCCAGCTCTGGCCTCCACGATGCGGGGGTCTCTGTGGGCTCCCCAACTCTGGCCTCCACGATGCAGAGGTCTCCGCGGCCTCCAGGCTCTGATCTTCACGATGCGGGGGTCTCCACAGGCTCCCCAGCTCTGGCCTCCATGATGCGGGGGCCTCCGCGGCCTCCAGGTTCTGATCTTCCTGATGTGGGATCTCCGCGGGCTCCCCCAGCTCTGGTCTTCACAATGTGGGGGTCTCTGCGGCCACCCCTCCACCCCCCAGCTCTGGCCTCCCAAGATGCGGGGTCTCTGCAGCCTCCAGGCTCTGGTCTTCACAATGCGGGGGTCTTCGCAGGCTCCCCAGCTCCAGCCTCCATGATGCGGGGTCTCCACGGGCTCCCGGGCTCTGGTCTTCACAAGGTGGAGTCCATGAGCGGCTACCCAGCTTCATCTCCTCACTGAGGGCTTCACCTCAACAAGTAGAAATCTGCCTGGTCCCCACTCGTCCTACCACAGGTCCTGTCCCCCTTCACTTCGGGGCTGACCTCAAACACAAACCCCGTGTCCCCAGAGTGTTGAAAAGAGCAGCAATAAGCAAGCCGCTTGCCTCACCTGGCGTGTACAACAACACGTCCACGGCGTGTGGGAAAGTCTCTCCCGCTGAAGGGTTTATCTTGTGCTTCAGGGTTTCCGAGGTTGTCTTTGGAACCGTCGAGGGCACTGAAATGCAAGCACTCTGTTAGTCTCCCCCAGCCTGGGCACTGCGCGCTCTGCAGGAGCTTCGTGCACTTGACACCAGACGTTAGAGTAAGGCTTCCCCCTCCAGGCGGCCTCCCTCCCTTGCTCTGTGTGCGGACCGCCAGCGAGACTGGGACGCCGCTCACGTCCCAGCTGGGAACTGTGTGATCTGACCTCTGTCTGCACTCAGCCATCACCGATTACCCACCAAAGACAAGACCTAAAACGTTTCTCAGTGACTAAATAGTCTCAAGACAAAACCAAGACAACTAGCCTGAGAGCAGTCTCAGCCTGGGCGCCATGGACATCTCAGGCCATAGGTGTGGCTGCTCTGGGGACCGACCTGTGCACCGCGGGACAGTCCGCAGCATCCCGGCCTCACCAGGAGATGCCGGTAGCGCCCCCCACAATCACAGGGGTCTCCAGCATCCCCAAATGCCTTCCTGCCGGGATGGGGTGCGGAACTTCATAGAGACTAATTTTTAGACCTCCCATCATGAGTGGACTCCAGGCTACTAACCAAAGCCTGGGCTTACTGCCTTTACCTCATTAAGCTGTGCTCACCAGCAAGCAGTTCTTGTGGGTGACAAGGCGTCAGGGACACCGAGCCTAGACAACCTGCCTTCACCATATGGAACAGGGTGGACGACAATTAAGAGTGAGCTGGCAGGTGTTGGCGACCACCAAGGTGACGGTGTGCCTCGTTCATAAAGGAGTCGGAAGGCTTTTGCAGAAATTCTTGACGAAGGGGAGGCCTGAGCTTGGACTGAGATAAACAGCTGAACTGTAGTGCTGGATTTTGTTCCTAATGAAAAAATAACAAGCAACCCACGTCTATTTCCAGGACTGTTGACAAGAGCTCCTCCCAGTCGGCTGGTGCTGTGGTGACCAGAGCATCCTGCCCGCTCCCAGGAAAGGGGGCTCTGGGGCAGGGGGTCCAGGACACATGGGGGGTCTGGGAAAGGGGGCTCCAGGGAGGGGGTGTCCGGGACACATGGGGGTCTGGGAAAGGGGGCTCTGGGGCGGGGGGGTCCGGGACACATGGGGGGTCTGGGACCAGGGGGCATCTGGGGCCTCATAGTCAGTGACAGACGTGGGAAAGAGCAACATGTGCCAAAGCGAATGAACACTTAACCAAGATTCGTTTTTTCTAGATCTGGAAAAACATTTTAAAAACCAGAATCTCCAGCTATGCACCCAGGAGCTATGACAACATCCCCAAACAAAACCTGTCCACGAAGTGTTCACAGCAGCATTATTTGCAACAACCAAATGGTGCAAACAACCCAAACGGTCAGCTGACGACGGATGAACACAGTGGTCCATCCGCACGGTGGAATATTATTCAGCCACAGGACGGAGTGACACGGGACACCTGCTTCAGGGACGGACTCTGAAAGCACTGTGCTAAATGAAGGAAGGACACATGCTGTAGGATCCGTGTATATGAAATGCCCAGAACAGGCAAATCCAGAGAGAGAGAGTGGATCAGTGGTTGCCTGGAGGCTGGGGGTGGCTCCTAAGTGTACAGGGTCTCTTTCTGGGGCGATGAAGATGCTCTAAAGTTCACTCTGCTGGGGCACCTGGGTAGCTCAGTCAGTTAAGCGTCTGCCTTCGGCTCAGGTCATGATCACAGGGTTCCTGGATCAAGCCCCGTGTCGGGCTCCTCGCTCAACGAGGAGTCTGCTTCTCCCCCTCTCTCTGCCGCTCCCCTGGCTCCTGTTCTCTCCCTCTCTCTCTGTCAAATAAATAAAAATAAAATCTTTAAAAAAAATAAAGTTCACTCTGCTGATGCTGCACAAGTCCGTGAATACGCTAAAACCATGGAACTGTAGACCCTCCCTGAGTATGGTGTGTAAATTCCATCTCAGTAAAGCTGTGATTTAAAAAACAGTGCATACAAACAGGACCACAGATGGTCTTTAAAACACCCCTACGTGGTTCGCCTGTTTCATGAACTTGATGTTGTTGGTGGACCTAGCACAGGGCGGCCGTGGCACGGAGTGATGGTAGCAATAAGCAGTCCTCTGTATTCTCTCCTTTATAAAGCAAATCATAAAGCCGTTGGCTTTAGATCATTTAAAAGTTGAAATAAAACAGAGGTGTCTAAAATGATACATAAAGTCATTCTTACCCATTTGCTGTTTCCTAGACTTGAAAAATCCACCCCCTGCCAAATAAAAATAGCCCACCGCCAACCTCTCTTTGAATGGCTTCCAGAATGTGAGAGCCAGATTCAGATCTACATGCAGGTGATCAGAGAATTCCTATCTGGGGAAACCGACCACATCGAGGGGAAGAAAAGATCCTGCACCCGGGGGCCTCCGCTCAGGCTCCACTTGACACACCGACCATGCACACAGCTCTCTGGTGGGCGCATTCCCCACGGCTGAGCGCTGGTGACCTTGCCAGGGGCTCCACGAGCCACTCAACAGCCGTCCACAAATCCCTATTCCACGTAACCAGCTGCTGGAGATCTGCTGCTGGCAACTGGGAATCCTGACAAACGACACCCAGCGTTTGTGGGACGTCACTCAGACCTCAAGCAGGAAGTCCCTCCGTGGGCGTCAGTACGCACAGAGCGCCCGGGAACGGGCGAGCAGAAGGACGTGTGCTACTCAAACATAAACGTGTAAAAGTGTAAAAGGAACAAAGTGAGAAATTCGGGATTCGGAAAAAAGTGATGTCAACCGGATAAAAGTACGGAAGCCACGTTCGGGACCACGGCTGTCGAATGCGTGCTGCGCTTACTTTCGCTCTTCATCTTATCGAAGTAAGACAGCTTGGAAGCGGCGTAGACGGCACCGGACGACTGCAGCGTGCCGACCACGGCGTCCATCAGCAAGACGTGCGTCAGCGCCTGCTGGACGTACTGAGGGTCCTGCGGGAGAAAGGCGCTCATTTCAACAAGTCGGTAAAGCGCCTGCGAGACTTCGGGACGTTACAGCAAACCACACCTTTGAAGAGGCGTGTTTTTTCAAGGCAACTCGGTTTACGTTTGGAGTTGATGTCATGTGACTACTTTTGTCCATCTTAGTGAAGACAAACACCGCTCATTTATACACACGCTGGCAAACATGTTCTGCAAAGGGCCAGGCAGCTAATAATACTCGGGGCTCCGTGGGCCTTGGGATCTCTGTGGCAACCACTCGGCTCTGTGGCCGGGCTCGAAAACAGCCAGAGGTGGTCCGTGGCCCGCGGGCTCCAGTTTGTACTGTTGTGCAAAATATAGCAGCAGGCATAAATCAGATGGCTGGTCTGAAAGTCACGGAGTACTGGGGCCCTGGAAAGGACCTGGTCCCCCTCCCTTCTCCAGATAGAAAGACTCCCTCCGTAGCCATGATCTAGGCCCCCCAGGGCCTGGCGACTCCCTCATGAAGGCCAGTGCTCCCACCACGCACAGTCTGTTCTTTCTAGTGTTCGCCCCTGTGGCGGCGGCTGCCTCCCCCACTTTCCCTCTGATGACTGTGGGCTGTGCACCCCTCTGCGGCTCCTGACCTGCCCCGTGTGTGAGTCCCCATCCGTGCTCTGCGCATTGGGTTGTGGCTTTCCGGCCTTATCTGCCATTTAGACGGTACAGACCTCTCGCCCCACCGGTGCCCCGTCCGGGCCTCTGTCCATGGTGCCCTTCACGCCCATGCAATCCTCACTCCGTGTACTCAAAGCTACTGTGGCCCAAAGCAAGTGAAAGCACACAAATCCCTAGGCTGTAAAGTCTATCGGAGGACGTGCCCCCTGCCAGAATCCTAGTCCTGGGAGGTAGAAGAGGAGACGCCTGGAGCAGGGTGTGCCCGGGAGACCCAACTCAGACCTCAGAGGCCAGCCCCAGTCCTTCCACAGTGTCCCCAGATGCCACTGGCCACGCACTGGGCCATGTAAACCACGGCATCTCCAGGGCCTCTGGAGGGACCTCGTCTAACCCAACTCGTGCTCACGGGACCACGCCCGAGCCCCCAAGACGAGCCGTGAGTTGGAATGAGCAGCCACCCGCGTCCCCCAGACCTTGTGGTCGTCAGCCAGCTTCTTCCCGGCCCACATCTCCTTCACCATCAGGTGCCACAGGTCACACTCCGTCTTCAGATTAGCTTCAAACACTTCTTTCCTGGATGCCATTTTAATTTTTAAAGTGGGTATTCTCAGAAGCAGAAATGCTACAGTGGTACTTCTCACTTCCTGCGGAGGCAGAAAAAGAAGAAGCAGGTCAGAGAGATGCCCCGTGGCAGGAACTCGGGGGTCAGCGAGGGAAGGTGGCTCAGCAGCCGGTGCCTGAGTGTGAAGGCAGGCCCCGGACCGAGGGTGCAGAGTGGGGGCTGGCCGGGGTGCGGTGCAGGGAGCCCCAGGCAGAGCCCGGCCACGGGCGGGAGGAGAGGGACGGCCCGAGAGAGGGGCCTCCGTGCGACCCTGCCGTCAGACACTGGTCCCAGGGGGTCGGGAACCCAGGCCCGTGTCCGAGGACTCACGGGCCTTCCTGGCCGACCACGGGCATGACCTGTTAGCACATCCGCACAAAGGCGCTCGTCCGCAGGGTTCAAACAGGGTTCATTCCTCTGCCTCCGGAAATGCTTCTCTTTCTTTGGCATTCCGGGAGGCAGTCCGTGGAAGCAGGTATGGGGGGGACTAGAGGACGGGGGGGGACCCACGGGCCAGCGTTCACCGCGGCTGCAGTACCTTCCTGCCTCTCCCGTCTCCAGGAGTATTCAGAGCTGGATTAACACATCCAACACGCCTCTCGAAATAAATATAACGCTTGAGATGAAGCCACAGCTGAGTGTCCTCAGTGGGGAAGACAAGCCCTTTACACTCGAAGGGGCACCTCAAGTTAGCAAACAGCACGATCCAGCGGCTGCGCTCTTACCTCTATGTTCCTGAAGGTGGAAATCTCCACGTAGCCTGGTCTCCCTTCCGTCAGGAGGAACAGGCGCTTCTGGGTCATGGCGATCTTGCCCACGCCGCGATTCGTTTTGACGGAGCTCGACAGCTTATAAACACACTCGTTCTTATCCAGATGCTCCATCACCGACAAAGGCAGACTGACCTCCTGGGCCTCTGCTTCTGCCTCCTTCCAGCAGTTGTAGAAATCTTTGAATGTTTCTGGGTCAATCTGTTTCTGGTGTCCTTGGTTTTGGAGAGAAAAGAGATTTCTTAGAGCCACATACACAGCCCTTGCGCGGGAGAAGACGCGGTGCGCTGTCCACACAGGCCAGCAGGTGGCGCCAGCACCCACGTCTCCCACCCCAGCGGTCTGCCCAGGATGGGCACCCAAACCACGGGATCGGGGCTGCCCTGTGACCCGAGCCAGCAGCCACGGTAACTCTCGGGACACTCTTTTTACGGTGGCAAAGCCCTGGGTCGCCACTAGACCTGGCGGCAGGCATCGTGGGGCCATGAGGGGAGCTAGCCCTCAGATGAAGCTAATGCTAAAGAGACCAGACCCTTGGTGACCCTCCTCCATCACTGGATCAAGCTTTTTTTTTTTTTTTTTTTTTTAAAGATTTTATTTATTTGAGAGAGAGAATGAGAGACAGAGAGCACGAGAGGGAAGAGGGTCAGAGGGAGAAGCAGACCCCCCGCTGAGCAGGGAGCCCGATGCGGGACTCGATCCCGGGACTCCAGGATCATGACCTGAGCCGAAGGCAGTCGCTTAACCAACTGAGCCACCCAGGCGCCCTGGATCAAGCTTTGCCTGAAGCTAGCCCTATCTCAGTATTCTTTGGTTATGTGAGCAAATAAGTCTTATTTGTAACCAAGATGAACTTGATACAGCAACATTTCTAAATGCCCGACAGTCACGGGCTCTGAGTTAGAGAGAGACCCAAGTCTGAAGCCCCGCTTTCCTGGTTAACGGTGGGACTTCAAGCAAGCTGTATAACGGACCCGCTTGCTCATCCGAACAGCGGAAATGGGACCACCCCGCTCCCACTCCACCCGACTGCCAAGAAGTCCTGCCCATCCTGACGCCCACGTTTCCCTGTGTCTGTGGCTGCGGTGGCCGGGTTCCGCCTCTGCTCCGCATTCCTCGGTCACGCGGCGGCCCCTCCCGTCCTGCACAAACGCCCACACGGCCTCCCAGCTGCTGCAGCCGGCGCCCGGAATGCCCTGAGAAACAAGTAGGCGCCCCCTCCCGTTCAAACACTTCAGGGCTCCTCCTCTACACCAGGCCCCAAATCCTCCAGGACTGGGCCCCTGGGCCCTTTCACACTCCCGCGTTCCAGTCACACCGAGTATATCCCAAAACAGGCCCATGTCAGGTGCCTTTGCACACACTGGCCGAGGGTGCTCGGACCAGAAAACTCCTACGCATCCTACGCAAGACCCAGATAAAACAGCTCACGTGCTCCCTTCCCTGAAGCTGCACACGCATTTCACTCACGTACCACTCCCCACGACACGGGGTCCCACTCAATCCTCCCACCCCCTCAGGAGGCAGGCACCGTTAGGCTGTTCACAAATCGGGAAACCGAGGCACGGGGAGGAAAGCCGTTGCTGGCACGCTAAGTGTGGAGCCGGGCCCGGCTGTGTGTGTGTGGTTCTGCCTTCCTGCTGAGGCGGCTGGGAGAGCAGGAGCCGTGTCCTCCCCAGCCAACCCCACTGGAGGCCAGATTGGAGAAGGACAAAAGACGCGGGAAAGCTCCAGGGCAGCCGCGTCCCTGCTCGGGCTCCATGACACGGTGTCAGGGGGACAGTCCCCTGGGGACTTGGATATCATGGCCACCAGAGTCTGGCCCAATTGGGCCGTCCCTGCAGGCCTTGGCCACCACACCCTCCGGGGCCACCACGGGACTGGATGGTGCAAGCCTGCGGCCACCGCGCACATCCATGAGCTCCCCGCAGGCCCGCTGCCCACACCAGGGCCTGCCACGCTCCACCACGGCTCCCGCACGCGCCCACGCAGACAGGTCACGTACGCTTCACCTGTACCCAGTTCCACCCAGAAACGCCGGCCGTTCCCTCCTGTACCCCATCACCCGCGGTGCAGGCGGCGGCTCTGGAATCCCAGGCTCGCGCACGCATCCACCTCCCTGCCTTGCGGCCCCTCGGAATTACTGGTCCTGCAGTGTCAACATCGGGCTTTGAAACGTCTATAAAAACGTGCAATGACAAAACAGTGACAGGAATCTCCTAAATAAAATCTCAGGTGTGTTCTTAGACCACAGCCGTTCATTCCAAGGTGGTAACATTCATCTTTGACTTAACAGAGCTTTTCTAACACACGGCCATTAGGCCGAAACATCCATCTGGTGCCGCCCTACAGCGGCTCATACATCCCAGAGTCGGGACCATTAACGGATGTATTTTGCAATGTGAATGGACCCAAAGTGACAACCGGGCCGTCGATGGCCCACGCTGATGGCCCAGGCGTCCTCCGTGTCCCTGCTAGCATAAGTCTGGGAATGCTGGACACTGTCCACGCGTCCAGCCATGAAACCATGCTTCCCAGGCAGCTACGTGCTGTGGGACACGCTTCTGGCCACAGGAGTGGGGATAGACCCTCCTCTTCCTGCTGGGAGAACAGCACCGCCCGGGGCCATCGGCGTCTCGGGCCGTGAAACAACACGGCCACGCTCGGGGAGCCTGGTGACGTCCAGGGCCAGCCAGGCACAGCCTGGACATCTTGTTCCCCGAGAACAATACCACCAGTGGCTGAATCCACCGTATCTCAGGCCTCGCCGCTGGACTGGCTGGCCCCGGTGTAAAGGGAAGGGGCAGGGTCCCGCGAGTCATGGGGGCCCGTGCTCCCCCTTCCCGGCAGCCCCAGCACTGCTCCCCAGGGCTCTCTGCAAGCACCTGTCTCCTCTCGGACCCAGCTCATCCTCCCAAGCTGTCTGCCCCACGAGTGCCTCCTGGGCGTCCGACGAGATGCGCTCCACTGCGCCCTGCCCGGGCCAACACGGTGTCGCTTCTCCGTGGCATCTCCAGAGCACCACACGGGGAGGTGACCAGCGAGGGCCGGGCTGGCCTGCACCTTGGTCAGGCCAAGTGCCTGGGGCCAGCGAACAGGCGATCGGCTCCTCCTCCTGGCGGGGGCAGCCGGACGCATCTACGTAAAGAGTGTTGCGTGGCCCAGCCCGCCCACGGAGCCACGGACGAGACCAGGGAGAGAGGCCTGCGTTCGGCAAAGGACAGCCTGTGCAGAGGACACGAGGCGCTCCCACACGCCCTAAGGAAAAGGCGAACATGCTGGTGTAGAAACGGACAGATGACACCAGAGCAGCTCCGAGCGGACGCTCGTCACACTGGCCCAGCACCCGGGACGGACAATGCCCAGCGCTGCCCGGCGGCGGTGGCGGGACATGGGTGTGTCCCGGGCCGTGCAGCCACCGAGGGCAAGGAGGCAGCTCGCCGTCAGGATGGCAGTACCCGCGTCCAGACTGGGCCTCTTGGCTCGAGTCCCAGGGAGACCCGTGCACAACCACGTAGGGCAGCAGGTGCGTGAAACCCGCCACGTCAGTATTTGGGAAAGTAAGACGCCCGGACGCCACCCGATGGCCACGCCCAGGTGCGCCATGCTGGCCCCCGCTACCCCAGCGTCGCAAGATCCGCTGGAGAAACCAGGCGCACGCGCTTCAGCACGGAAAGCTGCAGGACAGCGACGAGCCTGACGCGGCAGGACGCACGGCCATTTAAAACCACACACACCTACGTACCGCGTCCAGTAAACACGTAAACGCACGGTCGAGGGGCAGGCTCCGGTTGGGGACGGTGGCCCTTGGCGGGGGCAGAAAGCTCCCAAACGAGCCAGGCAGTGGCAGTAAATGCGGGACAAGGCGGCACTCTGTCTGCGCCGTCAGGTCGTGTGAAGCGTTCCCGCCACCGGGGGGATGGCGCAGCGAGCGGGGGCCCCGGGACAGGAGCCAGCCTGCCGCGGCTTCGGGCTCTCGGGTCACACTCCCCTAGACCCTGGGCGGCCCCTCAGCCCCCCGTCCTGTAACTGCCCGCGTCGGACAGGGCCTCCCCCCACGGGGGCTCGCGGCACGGTTCGCGGACTCGTCCCCACGTGGTTACGCCCGCCGTCCGGGCCACGGCCGGCCTCTCACCTACGGTTAGCGCCTCAAACAGGCGGTGTATGATGCTGGTGTCCTTCACGATGCCCGACTCCTGAACCCTCTTCACGAAATCGTCCAGCTGCATGTGCTTCTTGGGCAGCTCGAAGTTCTTCACGCGGTCGTCCGGCTTGGGGGCCTCTCCGGGCTTGTCCACCACCTCGCTGATGAGCCGCCGCAGCTCGGGCACCCGCTCGGCCTGGGCACGCTGGGGGCCCGACAGCGACTCCACCGTCCTCCGAACGAGATCAGCGGGGAAGATCCTGATGTCTGTTTTGTACAGACTCTGGAAGTCCAGGAGGGCGTCCAGCAGCTGCCCGTGCATCAAGTGCACGGCCCCGCGGAGGTAGAAGTACCGCGCCAGGAGCACGGAGCTGTCGGGCGCCAGAAGGCTCATGGCCTTGCTCAGCAGGGCGACGCAGTCTGAGTAGTAGGCCTGCACGCACTGGCCCACCAGGGGGAAGTGGATCTCCGGGATCTTGAACGTGTACGTCGGCTTCGGGGTCACACTCAGAACTAGAGCCGAGAGAAGACATGTACACAGTCAGCAGACCCGAAAAACAGACCGGGGTCCCCGTCATCTCGTCCGGGTTAACGTTTCTGGGCCCTGGGTGCAACGTCAAGCGAGAGCCTTTATGCCTCTTCCAGAAAGCTCCACATGCCCCTGAGCTGAATGGGGGCCCCCCCACTCTGCTTCCATGGCACCCTGAGAATACGGAATAATTTTATTTGCTAAGACTCTAGCACTAAATGGAAACACCTGGTAGTGAGTCTTCCCGGGAGGGTTAACCTGATGACCTAAGCCCAGATGCGCCCTCTCTGTGAGACGCCCACGGCCATCAACCCCGTCGTACAGACGTGCAAACTGAGGCTTCGTGCGTCCCAGGTGCCCAGCTACTAGATGCCAGAGCCAACCTAATCCAGGTGTCTCACACCGATTCCTTCCACAAATGTCACCGAAGTGCCTCTCAGGTGGCCCCAGGGGACCAGGACCAGGCCAGTCCTGTAGGTAGGCCATGCACCCCACGGAGGTGGCGTCTTTGCCATGAAGCCTGGGGGAGAGGGAGGAGGCTGGGAGGGGAAGGGGGGCTCCAGCTGAAGGTTCAGGCGGCAGAGAGGGCAGAGCGCCTTCCCACAGCGGAGTGAGCACAGCCAGGGGTGAAAAGCATCACTGGGTTTTACAGAAGAACTACAGGCCCAGAGAGGTGAATCACCTGCCCAGGGTCACACAGCCAGGGGGCCACCGTGAGGGGCCTCAGACCCAGCAGGCGCCTCCAGAACGTGTGCTCTGTCATTGAGGACTTTTCTCTTGGACGCACGGCCCCTCCTGAGGCCAGCTGGGTGCGCCCCTCACTCAGACTGCCGCTCTGCTCTGCACGGTCGTCAGGAGGCACCGAGGCAGTGGCCACAGGGCCCCCGGCTCACGGCGCCTGGCCTCACCCGTTCCTCCTGGCCGCTGTGGATGGAACCACATGGAGGGGGCCCTGAGGGTAAATACCCGAGGCACACGTGGCTCGTTTGCTGCAGCTCACGCAGAAAGGAGACAAGGGCTTGCACACGTGCACACGTGTTCTAGAGCACTTTACACGCCAAGGAAACGCCCGGCTGACATTCGGAGCTGTGCACACAGGCCTGCCTCCCCGACGGAGCTGCTGCCGTCACGGCACCCACGGCCCTTGCTGTCCCTCCGCCTGCCACTGCCACTGGGGTGGCCTGGCCTCGCCATTCCCTCCGTGTCTGCTGAAACGTGGCTGCCACACCCGAGCCCCCGTCACCACCCCTGACGCCGCTTCCTTTGTGCGGGGACACCGCACACCCCATCGCTTCGTGTTTATCTGCTTCTGGTCTGGCCTCCTCCCAGGAGCGCAGCTCCACGAGGGCTGGGACACCGGGCCCTTCGTACCCCAGGATCTAGAGCGAGCGTGGCGCCTGCTGGGGCCTGACAGTGTCGTGCCCGTCAGACGCGGAGAGGCGCCAACGTGTGTTTTATATGTACACGCAGACACACCCAGGCCAAACCCCCACCCCCTTGCCCTGAGCAGACCCCGGCTGTGGCAGCGGCCTGCCGCGTCGGAGCCCAGCGGCGGGGGCAGCGCCCGGACAGGGGCCGGTCTATTACCTACGCCGCTGCTGCTGCATTCCGAGGCGTCCACTTTGCGAAGCGACGAGTTCCGGGCCGGCAGCTCGGGAATGGTGATGTCCTGCAGGTTGGGCATGCTGACCACCATCCTCCGGTGCGCGACGTGCAGGGGTGAGGATTTCCGTGAGGCCATCTTCTCAATGGTCGGTCTTCTTGGACTTGGCAGCATCCCGTTAAATCTGGGGTCAGGAAAAAGCAACGCCTTTTAGCAGCAAGAACGACTGCAGAATACGTCTCAACGCCTGAGCCTCTTCTCCCACGTGACACCCGGTGCCCACCATTCCCGCGTGCCAGTGGAAAACAGCGGGAGCACCGTGTCGGAGTCTCCGCAGTGTAGCCAGAGGCTGGAGAACAGACCGTACCCCCGAAGGGACACACATAAACAAAGTCTGTCGGGAACAGTGTGGGAAGAGCTGGAATGGCACGGGAGGCGGTGGTGATGCGGCGGGAGAGGGAAGGCGGACGGCAGTGGATGGCAGGGCGTACACGCTACACTCGATGTCCTGCCCCCAAGAGAAACGCGCGGGGACGAGCCCAACGTGTTGCACGTTTCTGAATGTGAGATTTTCTGGTCAGATGCATCATTCATCCACCCAAATAAACCCATGCTACTCGAGCGTCTGGTCCCCATTGTAGACAGCACCTGTCCTCTTCAGATTGCAGGTGGAGGTCCATCTGGGCAAAGGCGTCCATCCTTCCGCTGAGCCGGGCTTTAAGGAAAGAGCGAAACATGTAGGTATCCGACACCTGAAACAGACCACGGAAGGCCAGTTACCGCCACGCTCCTGGCCTTCGCTGTGCCGCCGGGCGCCTGCAGCGGCTACCCGGCCCCTTCCCCGCCGGCCGCGGCCTCTCCCCGACCCCCAGCTGCTTGGACACAAGTTCCCAAGCGGCAGCTGTCTTCACTGACCCCACCCTGCCACGCTAGCCTCCAGATCCTCCCCAGGCCACCACGAAGGACCGGCCAGTCTGTGTCTGAAAAACCACCAAACGTTCAAAAGCTCAACCACCTTCCCCTCATGACGGCAAGAGCCACGGTGCCCTGTGGCCTGTGATTCCAGATCTCCAGGGACCACAGCCCCCTCCTCACAGCAGGTGCACGGTCTGGCACGCACCCGTGGCTCCCACGACCCAGCTGCTGGTCTCTCGCTGGACAAGGTGACCCTCCAGCAGCCGGTGCTTGTCCCCACCCTGCTCCCTGCTGTGGTCCAGCAGCCTGCAGGGGACAAGGCCCAGGGGACACCGCCCCGCCTGGCGACAGGAGGGCTGCAGGGGCGCAGGGCCCACGAGGAAGGTGCTGGAAACCCCATGTACAAAACACCCGCAGAAGAATGAAGGCAGGAGCGGACACGCAGCGGGATGGGAGGTGGCAGCCTGGCTCCTGGGGACCGCTGGAGTACTCTCCACGAGCCAGCAGAGCACGGAGGCCGATGGCAGGGAGCTCGGCCCAGGCGCCTGTCACAGCTGTGACCCGGCTGCGAATGGGGCTCCCGGCTTTGCTCTGGCCCCTCGTGCGTCCCTGTGGCTTCTCCCTGTGCTCCTCCGTGGTGCCTTTCGTGGCAGGGTCTCCTGTGGGCAGCATCAGGCCCGCAGGCCAGGCTCTGTGCCCCGGGGAGTGCGTACAGAGGGGGCAGACGGCCAGGGCGCCCATGAACGGGGGGAGCGTGGAGTCTGTCCAGCAAATGTCAGGGAGCAGACATGAGGGCACGGGTGGTGCCCGGAGAGAGGTAGAGGCTGCTGGCCGGCCGACGTGAACGACTGCTGTGTGGACCTCAGCCATGAGGGGAGCCGCGGCTCACACACCCCTCTGGCCATCAGCTGGACAGGACGCCACCGAGAGAGGCCACCCGAAAAGCATGAGAACAGCCCTAAAGGACCCAGAAGATCGGCGCCGGCTGCACCACCTGCCAGCACGAAGCCCCAGACATGACTCCTCATAACAGACAAGAACGGAAGCATCCCACAGGCTTGTGAGCGGGTGGACAGAGCCACGGCCACCTCCCGCACCGGACGGAAAGGCCCCGCGGCCGCGCCTGGCACGGGAGCCATCCGGGCTGATGGAGAGGCCCTGACCCGGACCGAGGAGGTGGCTCCCAGGCACGCACGTCTGTCAGAATTTATCGCCCGCTACACTGAAAATGGGTGCATTTCATAACAGGTAAATTATACTCTGAAAAGCGGATCAAAAAACGGGGCCAAAGGGACCAAAGGAACCATGTGGAAACAAACTTTCTGGAAACGTTAATACTTCCTAAAATATTAACAGATGCTGAAAAAATGTACTTTGAACAACGCTGCAAATACAGAAACGTATGCAGGACAGAATACGCACACGCGCACACCAGCCCCACTCGCTCCTCACCTGTCTATAAAACTGCTGGTCCCCCGGAGCCCTGGTTTTGAGAAACTCCTCACTATTAAACACTCTGTGTTCGTAATTTAGGTGGTTCTTCACCTCCCTGATGAAGAGAAAGACGATCTAAGTGTGGAGCTATTTTTAAATAGGTGAGAGAGTCATGACGATTTAGCGACACAGGAAAGACGAGAAGGCCAGCCTTTGCAAAAGCCCCGGCCCACGGGAAGGGGACTCCGACCCCGGGAGGGCTGGGTTTGGGCGTGGTCTGCTCCATCTCCTCGGTGACGCAAGCACGGCCTTTCCCTCCCGGGGGGACCGTCACGGCCCTCTTCCCTTTCCAGCCCCTACTTCCTCCTGCAGATGACACACAAAGCGGACTTGAGGGGGTGACCCCGTAGGGCGGGCAGACTCTGAGCGTGAACCCGTATGATCTGCCACAGCAGAAGTACAGTCTACACGTGGGATCAACGAGCCCACGGGCCACATTCCACGTGTCAGACATTCAACGCTTTCCTTCCGTTGTTGGGAAAAGTTATCTAAGGGACATAAAGTTTGATCCTTTGTATTCAGTCTCTGCTTTTTTACGAATTCATCAAGCTTATAAGGTGTTAAAAAAAAAAACAACCCAACCTTGCTTGTGAAAGATTTCATTTCAAAAGAGCAAAATGAAAAGAACCTATTTGTGTCCACACCAATTATACTGCTTTAAGCAGAGATAACACGACCCGTCTACAGTACACAGTCCCATTTTTTTTCCTGATAAATTATTTATTCTATGGAAATATATACATTTGAAAAACACAGCCACTGGATAATCACAAAGGCTCTGGTCTAAACCCTGCAGGACGGTGGCACCCACGGGAATGAGGACAAAGAGGAAGGCTCTCTAACGGGGACAGATCCTGAGTGCTGCTGCCTGGGGGGTGGGCTTCATTCTCACAGTGACCCGAGTGTCCCCACCCTGGGCTGGCCCCGAGCTCTCAACTGGCGCGATACCCCACAGGCAGTCAGGGGCTGGAGGGGCAAGGATTTCAGCCGCGTCACTCGGGGTCGAGCCACCGCGGCCAAGGAAATGGTCTCCAGTACCTGAAGATGCTGAAGAGCAGGTGCAGGGCCACCTGCTGCACCTGGCAGTTGAGTTTCTGCTGCCAGGCCCGCCTGCGGGCGCGCCCCTCGTTCAGGTCCATGCTGGCGCCCAGGTGTGCGAGGTCCAGCTCGTAGTGCAGCTGGAGGCTCTGGACCCTGGAAAAGAGAGACAGACGCTGACCACAGCTCACGCCGTGTGCCGGGACTGCTGTTCACGGGCGGGGAGAAAGCTCTCCCAGGTGCGTGAACACTCCGGACGCTTGGAAGACCCATCAGGAACTTCTGGCCCGGGTCACTAAAAATACATCCCTGGAGAGTCCACTCACCGCTCCATGCTAACAGCTCATCGGTGCTGAACCTGCAAAAGCCTCCACTGTGGACCGTGCACGTTTTCACCCAAACCGAATCCGTCCCTCCCCCGGGCTCTGCCTGGAGAGATCATGCACTCCCCACCCCAGGAAGGACAAGGGGTTTCCAGCGCAGGCTGCCTCGTGGCCGGCAGCTTTCACCACCACGCCCTGCCTGGGAGAATCGGATGCACCCAACGCCCTGTGCGTCAGGGCTCTCGGCTGCCTGGCGGAACCCTGTGTCCATATACCATGCACTGGCATTTGGCCACCCCGGCCTCCCCAGCACGATCAAGGCCGCAGCTTTGGAAACCAACCAGCAAGCGTGCGGTTTACGTGCAGAACACACACACCCAACACACACCCATCCCAGCCGTGTTTCCTGAGCACCCGCTGCACGCCTGGTGCCATCTGGGTGTGGGCTCCATGGTGACCAAAGGCAAAGCTCCCGGGTGGGGCCTATGTTCAAGTGGGAAGAAACAGAAAAACAGAAGAATGCACCCCAAATAGGAGGTCGTGGGGGTGGGGGAGGGGAGGAGGGGATTAGAGAGCAGGACAGCTGGAAAAGAGCCTGGCTGGTGGCTGGAGGGGCCTCTTGAGGACCTCGGACCTGAAAGGTGAAAAGCCAGACACACACAAACGGCCCTGGGCAGGTAGGGAGCACCCAGCTGCCAGAGGTCCCGCAGGAGCCGTGGCGGGTGGGGGAGACGGGCTGAGACCAGGTCTGAGTGGTCGGCGGAGCCGGGGTGGGCCGGGGAGCACTCTGGATTTGCCCCGCATGTGACAAGAAGCCACTGCTGGAGACAGGTGTCCCAGCCTGGCCGACCCCAGCTGACCTGTTGGGTACCTGCCACCTGGAAGGATCGTGAGCTGGCCACGCACCCACAGCACAGGGGCGCCGCGGGGAAGGAATCTGTACGGAGCCGTGGTGGCGGCCTCCCCCCCCGAGCTCTGTGCAGGGACGACCCCTCTGCTGGAGGAGAAGGCTGCCCCTCCTACCTGAGCGCTCTGTGACAGTCTGCCCGGGAGGGCTGGGGTCCCTGTCCTGCCCCTGGGAGGTGGGGTCGGCAGGGGGGACACCGTGAACACACAGTCAGATGCAGGTGAGGATGACGGGGGACGGAGAGGGTGAGTGGGATCGGGGCGTCTCGGGGAAGAGCGCTGCCTCCTGTCCTGCCTGCCCCACCAAAGGGCCCGTGTGGACACCCCAGCACTCCAGGACCCCCGGGGACGCTGCCCACCACTGCCCGGTGCAGCCTCAGAGCCCCCACAGATGTGCCACGACCACACGCGGGTCAGCTCACGTGGTTGAGATGGGAGGAGGCACCACACCCCATCCATGTGGGGTCCAGCCAAGCAGAGACGCAAGCCGCTGTGCATGTTCTAGAATCCTGACAATGCCACACAGGCAAGCACGAGACCCCCCTCCCCCTGGGGATGCGCCACCAAGCGCATGCTTGAGAAGCACCAAACGCTAGCGCCCGCCGGCGCTAAAACGTCAGACTCTGAGAGTCGGCGGAAAGCGGCTTTTGCTCACCAAAAAGTGAACAATTACAAATGTAGGTTCGCACAGGGAGACACTCCACCAGCACACCCTGCTCAGGTCCCCTGCACACACCCAGCAGCCGGCCACGACCGGGGATGCCACGGTGCTGCCCTGTCCTGGATGGCCAGACGCCCCGACCACGGGACGCACCATCGTCCTGGCAGATGGCAACGAGAGCTCCTTCACCCTCCCCAGAAGCAGCTCCGGAAGTCCTCGACCCCCACGACAGGCCGCAAGGCCTAACCTGGCCCTTCTGGGAAGCAGCTGCTGCTTGCAGGCCAAGGACGTGGGCAGCAGAGCTGGAAAAACCATACGAGCGATGAGCAAGGCAGGAGGCCGTAAGAGCCCTCCTGGGGGCTGGGGTGAAGACAGGAAGACCTCTCGCTCGGGGGTGGGGTGCCCACCTCTGCACTGCAGGGCAGGGCAACACACAAATCCTGCCCTGCGGGGGGAGCAGCGTCCCACGGGTCTGAATACGTGTCTCATGTGGGGGTGGAGGGGGAGGAAGGGAAGAGGAGGAGGAGAGAAGGGAGGAAGGAGGGAGGGAAGGAGGCAGGCAGGAGGGGAAGGAACCTCAAAGGTCCCAGGCAGACCACAGGGTCACAGAGAGAGGGTGGGAGGTTCCCTGAGGGATGAGACCATCACCTGACTCGGTGGGGCCGTAATTACTATGTAGACAAGATCAGAGTAAGGACTAATGACTTTCACCTTAAAACATTCACGAATAATTTCCAAACTATAAAGACAGAAAGGGTGGCTCTGGAACGTACATGGAAGAGCCACTCAAGACACTCAGAGCCGGCAAGTACAGAATGTTACAGGGACGTCCCCAAGCACACACGACTCCCACCTCTACCTCTGAATGAAGGTCTGTGCCGCGAGCAGGGGGACGTCCGGGACATCGAAGTCCTCGTCATTAGAGCAGGTGACGCTCCCGTTATCGATATTGATCAGAATTAGACCATCAGCTTCCTGTAAGTTTGAAGAGATTGATGTAAGAACCTGAATTGGTAGACATCTTTGAAAACACAAAAACACACTTTGCGTTCCCTGAGGCAGCGTCGCTATTGATTAAATCACCATACTTAACACGTACACAGCGCCTTATACTGTCCCTACCAAAAAATGTAGGATATGCTGTGAGTCATGTTGACAAGCCAGATTTGGTCAAACCCGTCCCGGGCTGAGTCAGGGTTCCATAGTGTCATCTGGCTTCCCCTGCCCTGGTATAAACACTCTGTGGGCCACTTCAGGGAACCTGGAGGGAACATGCCAGAACTGGAGTGTGGGCTGGGCCCCGGCTCAGTGAGCACACACACTTAGGATGTCTGAACTATGTGCCCGGGGTTCCTTATAAAGCCTGATGTGTAACGAGATACACAGACACTGAGTCACGCTCTGGAGTCCCGCATCCAGCAGCCCCAGGAATGTGGCGGCCCCGGGCTCTCAGAAGGCCGCCAACCCCCCCCCGCCGCTCCCCCTTTGGGCCCGGCTCTGAATGCCTGTTCCAGGTGGCACATGAAGCGAGCACACGCCATCTCCCAGCGCACTGACTGGGCACTGACTGGGCAAGGTGAGCATTCTCGCACACGCATGCTACACGACTGTGTCCAAGGCCCCAGCCCTACAGAGGAAAACGTCCAAACCCAACCCACGCTCTTCAGCCTGCTGCCTGTCCTGAAATCTCCCAGAACACGTAAATCCCTGAGCGGGCCTCCTTCGTGACTGTGGACGGGAGCTGTCAGGTGGATGTGCCCACAAACGTTCCCCGGGGAAGGGCCTGAAACAAGATGGTTTTTTCCCTAATGACTAAGAAAAGACACACATTTTCAACTTCAGAGCATGGCCCTATTTCTTCCTCATTTGCAATGCAGACTGGGAGACATTTTCCGTTCCTTCCATGAAGGTCTGAACGGCCTTTCCCCAAAGTGTGTTTGTCGCTTGGTGAGTCACTGGCTTTGGCAAGAACTCGGCAAGAACCTGGCTCCTCCCCGGGAGCGGCCGGGCCGAACAGGGCACCTGGCACCTTCCCGGGATTTGCTCCGAAACGCTCCAGGGCCCCGTGCAAAGGTGCTCCAGTGTCAGTCGCTGGGGAAACGCGCATCAGATCCGCCGTGAGACGCCGCGTCCCCCTTGCCTCGACGGCCAGAAGGACACACGGGGCCGGCGCTGGCAAGGCGGCAGAGGATTGCGGCCCCACGCTGCTGGCGGGAATGCGCTCACAGCCCAGCCTCCCCTCCAGCAGCTAGACGGCTAGCGTCTGCGGCGGGTGTGTACCCGCGCGGGGAAGAGCACACGCCGCACGGAAGCTCGCGCACACACGAGGGCTCGCAGCTGCGCGGGCACAACAGTCAAAAGTCGAAACAACTCTAACGTCCATCGACCGATGAACGGACAAACGAACTGTGGCACGTTTGCACAACAGGACCCTATTCAGCAGCAAGAACCACGACTACGTGGATGGACGGCATGGACGACCCTAGAACACGCTGTGCTGAGCGAAGGAAGCCACTAACGGCCAGCTACGGACCTCAAACCATGCGTGTGGAACGGGCGAATCCACGGACACAGAAGCAGGTGGGGGTGGCCAGGGCGGGCGGAGGACAGCGTGGGGCGACGCTGAGGCACACGGGGCTTCTCTGTGGGTGCTGAAAACGTCGGAAATTAGTTGGCACAACTCTGTCAAGTTACTAAGAGCCACTGAATTGCACATTTTAATCAGGCAAACTTCGTGGTATTTTATGTGAATAAAGGTGTTTTAGAAAGCCAAACCTGCTCTGCCTGCCGACAATATCACAGTACTACCAATCCACGTTAGCTCACCATCTAAACGTACGTTATTAAGCACTTACTGTATGCCAAATGCTGTACTATTAGCCCTTTTGGTCCCCCCCACGATAATGGGGCCAGCACACTTACTGCTGTTACAGGATCTTTGTTCCCTTCCGTGCCCGCGGCTCTTGGTCGCACCGCTTCGAGGAACAAAGAGGTGACCAGATGGAGCGGTGGGCAGCAGGGCGAAGTTTATTGAGCGATAGTACGAAGTTGCCCGAGAGGGTTGCCATTTCGGCATTCAAATCCCGGGGTTTTTTATAAGCTCTTCTGAGAAACTATCTTTTTTTTTTTTAAAGTTACTGCTCCATTAAGATTTTTTTTTTTTTAAAGATTTTATTTATTTATTCATGAGAGACAGAGAGAGAGAGAGAGAGAGGCAGAGGGAGAAGCAGGCTCCCAAGGAGCAGAGAGCCTGATGCGGGACTCGATCCCAGGACCCCGGGATCATGACCTGAGCCGAAGGCAGACGCTTAACCATCTGAGCCACCCAGGCGCCCCCTGAGAAACTATCTTGAGCACCCTGAGTGTGGGCCCCTGTGGACTGGGCGCTAAGGTGTGCCAATCAGGGCTTTGACCATGCCCCCATCTACCTATCGGGTTATCGTTCCCGTGTTGATGGTCTTTCGGGCTGACATCTGGAGACTAACTGCCTCAACTTGTGACAGTGGTTAATTGTTTTGTTTCCGGATGTTTTGCAGAAGTCACTCCTGCAGAGGCCATTAGCATGCTGTCGTGGTCTCGTCTAAGGTGTAAAGCAGGATGCTAGTGTGGTTTTGTCTTAGTTGTCCCGGCGTTTTTGCCTTCTTGTCGGGGACCCTGACCCTGATGACCTAAGTGTCCAATTAACCTCTGTCTTTTCCGACTAGGACACAAGAGGGCCGAACGCTCTGCCGAAGGTCAAGCACAGTGTGTAAACGGTCACTGCGTGCACCAAGGCCCACGCACCCACTGACGCTGTGACACGCAGCGTGGCCAGACATCTTCTCACAGGAGGGCCCACAGCATTACTGAGCAACAGAAGCTGAACTACACAGAGAAACACAGATCTGGAGCAGGGACACCAGCCGCTGCGGGCTGCCGAGCCCCTGCCACGTGCCGGCAGGTGTGGGGTGGTCCCCACTCAGAGCCTGGCCCAGGAGGACATGCCCGCTTCAGAGGCAAGGAGGCTGAGGCTCAGCAAGGGCTGGGACTGCACTCGAGGCCGCAAAGCTAGAAAGGGGCCACAGCCAGGCCAGAGAGCGGGCTCCATCAGCGTTGACGCCCGCACTCTCCTCGCTGGAACTGCGGGAAGCCGCGGACCCCCGGGAATTTAAGCGGACTGGTAGGTGACACGGGGTCCCGGCGCCCAGAACCCCATGGCCTTGAACACGCCCAGAGGACCGCAGGGGGATGGTGCAGACGCGCGAGAGCACCCTGCGTGCGTGGCACCCAGGGCACGAGCCGCGGGGACGGGAGTGACCGCATTCTCCCTGGCCAGGGCACACGGCCCTCCCTGCGGGGCCCTTTGAAAGCCATTCCCTGCCGGTCCCCACAGGGGTCACAAGGATCCGACATTCTCTAGCAAACGGTCGAGGCCTAACCTTGCTGACTTCTTCAAAGTGGTCGAGGTGACAGCCCATGAGGAAGGACGTCGGCGCCATAATGAAGTCCAGCATCTGGTGCGACAGGACGGGCACGAAGGTGTGCTGCCACTGCAAGGGGTGCAGGTAGGCCAGGAAGCACGTGGCAACCAGGGGCAGCAGGGCCCAGTTGGAGGAGAAGAACACGATCCGCTGCTCCGTCAGGAGGCACGTTAGGATCTGGGGGGAATCAGCAACACCGCGTGCACTGAATACACGTGCGATCGCGCCACTAAAACCACATGGGCTGACATCTGCCAAGACGAAAGCCCCTTTAGCCCCCCAAAAGCACTACTTGAACAGCATACAGTCCTGAATGTCTGCTTGAAGCCAAAAAGCAACCATTCCCAGTGCGTTCTGGAACACACGTGCCTTGGCATTGCCCTCCAGACGACGACAGCTTAGATGCCCCACTAAGCCAACCAGCAGGGACGCCCGGGGTCCAGAGGGACGCATACCTGCAGCACCTTCTCGGGCCTGAAGCACAGCAAGGGCAGGTGAAGGTCCAAGTCGATGAGCGGGCTCTCAGGGTCCGCACGGGAGGGAAACACGATCTGTAGCGGCTTCATGTTAAATATCTGTGACGACCAAGTTCCGTCATTAGTTCAGAGAGCCGCTCCCAGCAGAGGCTGAAATGCACTGAGACTCTCAGTGTAGTCTCCAGGGGTGTCTGAGTTAGGATACGTGTTTGAAGACTCACACTGTCACTGCGTATGTCACAGAACAAAACAGTCTAGAGACACACGGAACCGCTGAGAAAGGCTCATACATGAATCAAGTACTGAATGTCTTTTTCAGCCAATCTTCCCTAAACTCTTTAATTCATTAGCAAACCGCTCATCGGCAAAGATTAACCGACGCCCGGACACGTGTCCAAATCAGCACAGGTTCCAAGTCAAGCACGATCAGGTGAATCTTAGCTAGAACACTTACTGCATATTACGAATTCTCTTAGTATTTTCAACATAATTGTCAAAGCTCCTTAAAGACATGGACTTCAAGAAATCGCTGAGAAAGACTCTATTTCTCCAAATGACAGTATTTCAAAATAACACTTCAATTTGAATTCAGTATCTGCAGAATGCCCTTTCTGGATGGAGGGGGACGGTAGGGGCCTTCCAGCTCGATGGCAAGTTCGCTCCTGACCGTGGGGTCAGCCTCGTGGGGGGGCACCCAGGAGTGCCCCCAGAGCCCCAGGGGTCATCGGAATGGAGTGACCCAAGTGTGAGCAGTGCCGGGCCAAAAGCACAGAGAGAAGATTCTCGAATCAGAGACAGAGAAGCTCCCGCCAGGAAGAGTGTGGAAGGAGGACACACGGAGAGATGCATAGCACTGGCTGGGGAAGAAGGTTCCAGAACAAATGTTCGTCATCCACACCTCCTCACACCCACGTCACCACAGCTCTGTGTGAACGCTCGTGCAGAGAACCTGAGGACAAGGGAAGACTTCTTTCTGCAAGTGTCCCCTGATGGCCCCGTCTTGTCACCCACAGGTCTGCAGAAGCAAGACACGTCAGAAGGCAGACGTGCTGTGTGGACGATAACATCCTTTTTATTTAAAACAAAACAAGGTAGAGCAGAGTTACATGCTCCCAGTGGTGATGAACTACAAAAAATTGTAAAGTTTATATTTCAAAAAATAAACGTGTCAACCGGCTTCCCAACTACAGATAAAAACTAAATACAAATGCCAGTCATTCTATGATGCTGTTGGGCCCCTGGGTCATGTCCACTGCAGCGCATGAGACCCACACCCTCTGAGCTGGGCTCCGCTGTCCCCCCACCACCTTATTGTGAAGAAACTGAGGAGGGAGAGAGATTTTGGGGAAACACTTTCCAAATTTCAGCTTGACTGTAGCCCCAGGCAAACAACAGGTTCCCCACACAAAGCAACACAGGAAGTGAGTCAGGTAGAGAGAGAAGGAAAATGCCCATTTCGTGTGCACACCCAATAACTTGGCCCGTGCTGTGAAAGCACATAAAATCAGACCTGCTTGTGGGCAGAGAAGCCGCAGAGCAGGCCCAGGGGCGCAGGGTGTCTTTGCTGCCCTCGGGCCGGTGGTCCAGGCGCTGTCCACCAAAAGGGCACGGAGCCAGGCTGGGCCGAGGCTGGGTGCCGCCTCCCCTGTCACAGACCGGAGGTGACCCACCCAGCACCCACGCACTTGACTCTCAGGAATCACGGTTCCCGAGCAGTAGCTACAAGCCTCTCCATCGACATTCATTTGCAGTGGGTTCTGGAAATTCCTGCTGAATTGGCTCCTGGGTTAGAGGAGAACCTTGGCTCGCATTTCTCCAAAACAAGAAACAGCCACGTGGCTCAAAACTACCAAAGATGGGTCAGGGCCACGTATCAATGGGGGTCCCAGAGCTGGTGAGGCTGCCAGGGAGGATCACAGCGGCAAGCCTGAGCCAGGCTCAGCTCGTTCGGACAAACACGCAAGAACCAAGATGCAGACCCCACTCTGAGAACACGACAGGCTGAGCCTGAAACACGACGCATCCGTTCATTCATTCGCTCAACAGCGGGCGCGGTAACAGCGCTGAGTATGCAGCTCTGCACGGGCCCTCTTCCTCATGCCACTCGGAGGCCGATGGAGAAAACAAAACACACACGTGCGCGAGCCCCAACCGCAGACTGCGCTGGGCTCCACAGGAAGGGAGCGGGGCACAGAGCGGCGGGGTGGGAGGTCACACGGAGGCTGTCCCGAAGAACCTGACCTCCAGGAACAGCACGTGCGAGGGATGGAGGGAGACCCAGTGTGGCTGGACAACAGTGAGTGAGGGGGTGAGGCTGCACACAGAGCAGACGACACAGGGGCCAGGGATGTAGGACTGGCTGCAGGTACACAACGAGAAGCCATTGTGGGGTTTTAAGCACAAAAGGAGAGTCCAATGGATAGATGGTAAGTCCCTGCAGCCACTATGCAAAGGATGAACTGAATGGTCAAGAATGGACATGGACAGACCAGTGGCTCCCCAAGTCACACAGTGGGAGAAGCCGGTGGCCCCACATGAGGGGCTGGCCGTGGCCAACTGGAGGCAAACGCTGGGAGCTGGCTGGTCAGGGGTGAGTGATGGATGGAATGCAGGGGTGAAGAGAAGAGGTGTCAGGAACGACCCCCAGGAAACTCTCTCACAGGGGTGGGTAAAAGTCGGAGAACCAAATATGAATTAATCCAAGATTCCAAGGTACAGAAAACTGGTACAGATGTGGTTCGTGCATTACTCATGCTCAAAGGCAGAACATAATACGTAGGGTTAACCCTCAAACTGTCCTGAACTCGGTTTTGTTCACGGCTTAGCCGGTCCTCAGGGAATACTTGTTGAGTGAATAGAGCAAGAACAGAAACTTTGATGACTTCAGTGTACCATAAAAAACCACCAATTATCCACGTAATAAAGATGACGGCCTTGCACAAAACAAGTACCCAATAAATGTCCCTACAAAGGTTTCTGGGAGCGGAACCAAGGTACTCAGGCAACCTTGTCTGCCTCTGGGCCTGGAATGCATCTGGCAGGATTCCCCCCACCCCCACCCCACACACTGTAGGGTGGTATTAAAAATATACATTTTTAAGTTCATAATCACATGTCTCCAGTGAAATAAAATTAATTTTTCAATTGTGAATAATAATCAATATATAGAGAACTGGGATCTCTGTGTCTAATCTTCCAGAAAGGACTGAGTGAAATAGAGTCGACATTTATGACCGGCTTCGAGACGCTAATTTGGCGGGTGCCTGTTTGAGAATGAGGAAGCGCCTGGTGGTTGCGTCAGTCTGGAAAATGCTGAGCCAGACAGGTGTCGTCACGGCTCGGCCGTCTTGGCCCGTTACTCAGCAAAGAGGGAACGCGGGAGGCCTTTCTGCAACTGTCCTTAGCCTGAAACCCTCGCGTGGTGAAAGAACCAACAACATCTCAGGACAAGCGTGCCAGGGAATCCAGATCCCCGGAAACGCTTGGCCACTCATTCAACAGCACTGGGAAAAACCAAAAAATAGGAAGCCAGGTACTTTTCATTAATCACCCTGGACAGGAGAAAACATGAACAGATGTAATACAGTACCCAATATTCCAGACAAATAAACCAAAGGAACATTTGTAATTTGAGTAAATTCTGTATGTTTTTGGCACAGCAAGTAACGAACCGATGTGTTAAGCACTAAGGGGACCCATCACAGGCTCCACACCGCATATCACGGGCCACCAGGCAAACTCATCTTTAGAAATGGCGTAATAAGATGATTCTGTAAGGAACTTGAGAAGCATAATTTAAACACACTGGAACATAAGAAACAGTTTAAAACATTAAAACCATCGTCGTCATAGGACTTTTACTATTCGCAAAGAAAAGACAAAATTTCAGATTTAATTACCAAGTGAAGCGGTCCAGGCGGCGGGCTAGGTATTAAAGACAGTTTTGCAGCAAAATCTTTTATGTGATTGTCAACTTCAAAATCTTTACAGAGCTTCAGGTGAGTCAACAAACTAAAATAAAAAAAAAAAAATCACATCACAAAATAAGTATCAGCCTCCAGTTGTCATTTTAGCATTTCTAATCAGCGCTGACATGTCTGCCTGCGCCGGCAGCCCCAGGCCCTTCCAGCAACAGGGGGACGATCCCCCGGACATGAGACAGCAGGGCATGGCCTGCCCAGGGTCGGAGCCTGCCTGCAGGGGGTGCCGGGGAAGTGGGGTGTTGGCGGGCTGGTCATGTTCTTTTCTTGCTGTGGCTGCTGATTACACGGCTGGAATTCACGCAATTTCTGTCTGGGTCATACTTCAGCAGCGAGTAAACATCTCAAAGGAAAGTGCTTGACCACATTTGTTTCCCAAATACATTCTGACTTTTGAAGTATGGTTGGCCCTTGACCAATGTGAGGGGTTAAAGGCGCCCACCCCCGACGCAGTTGAAAACCTGCGTAGAACTTCTCACCCTCCCAAAATCTTAACTGCTAATAGCCCGCTGCTGACTAGAAGCCTTACCGATGACACGAACAATTAACAGGTATTTTGTAGGTTATATGGATTATATGCTGTATTCTTACAATAAAGTGAGCTAGAGAAAAGAAAATGTTTTAAAGAAAATCCTAAGGAAGAGAAAATACATTTACATTATGCATTTACATTACTGTATTTGTCGAAAAAAATCGGGTGTATGTGGACAGGCACAGTTCAAACCATGCTGTTCAAGGCACAGCCGAAACCGATTGAAACGCATAATGGACCAGCAGGTGCCTGGGGGCAGAGGGGCTGGGCAGCACCACAGGGTGTGAGGGAACTTCGGGGGTGGTGAAAATGTTCTCTGTCTTAATATCAGTGGTGGTCAAATGGGGTCTACATTTGGCAAAATGCAGCCAACTGCCCCGGACACCCTGCCTGGGTGTCCTGGGGCAGACCCCGGCCTTGCCCAGCACAGCAGGCCCCACGCGGTCCCGGCAAGCCGCGCGCTTACGCTCTTACTTTAGTAACAAATCATAGCTCTTCCTGAGTCAGTGTCAGGACTTGGAGATAATTCAATATTCCTCCACATTTTATTTATTGTAAAAGAATAGTATCAAGTTTAAAAAATAAAAAAGAACAAAGACTTTCCATAATCTAATTTCGCAAACACAGCTAAGCATTCTCTCCCAATTTCTGTCCACACAGAGGCATAGTTTACGTGCTACCATTACAGCAGAAAAACAGATTTTAAAAATGTATAAATCTATGTTTATAAAGTGCGTTTGGATTTCTGTTATTTGTTTTTCTATTTCCTAGTTCGGGTCGTTCAGCGATGAGCGTCGAGAGAGAGAACACTCAAGAAGTGTGGAAACTGAACACGTTTTTCGAGTTAAACATTCGTTTCCATCAGTGTCTAGCAGGATGGTATTTGTGGGGAGTCACACATGAATGATCACGTGTACAAGGTCTGAGAAAGTGGCACAGGGGCTGCCCTCCTCGGAAGGAGGGCGACAAGCGGCCGGAAACTGTTCCGTTCAAGAAAGGGTGTAACCACCCCCCCCACTTCACAGACGAGGAAACTGAAGAGGGGTGGACAAGCCATCTACCTTCAGGTGCTGAAGATTTTCAGTTAATTAAGAAAAGGGGACCCTGTCCTGATTTATCATCCCTTCACCGCCCACGTCCGGGCAGACATGCATTAATGAACGCGCACGCGCTCAAGTCCTGGAGGGAGACCAAGCGAGCGCTCTGTTCTCTGTCGGGGGCAATAAAACCCAGGCTAGACCCAAACCATGTGCAAAGACCAGCCACATTCTGAAAACTAAAACACTAAGGTGCTGGAACTTGAGTTCCCAAAGTTGTGAGTTTGGTCAGGAAGGATTCCTGCTCGTCCCTCTGACCACAGTGTGAGAACCAAAATGACAGTCTTTTCCAGGAGTCTGACTTGCCAGGGGCGGCGGGTGGGTATTGCGACATTAAGGCAAACCTCCGTTGACCGCCTCTGTGTTTAACAAAACCACCATGAATTCCAAGACTAGAACTTGGTGAGAATGAAAACCAGGAGGCCCGGGTGCGTGTGGCCGGGGGCTGGACCGTGTCCACACGCCACAATCATCCCCCGACAACAGGCGGTGAGCGCAATGCTCACTGGAGTTTTCAAAACTTCTCTGTCCTCAGGCTTTCTACTCAATATCAGCATTAAGGCACTCAAAGATTCCACCCCCCAAAAAGAAAATTTGTTAACTGTCATGAACTCAACAGGACTGACAGTGGTAGTCTCCTGATTCTCTCAGCCAGGAGAAGAGCCGTTTCTGATGGACATCTTTTTTAAAAAACCAAACAAACATAAAATCCTCCATACTAATCTTACTTCCCACAGTTTGGTTTCATCCTCCCTTGTCTGGCAGACCTTCCCCACACGCTACCACCTCCGGAAGCCTCTGGGCCTTCATGGAGCGCCCGTGGCCAAACCAGAGCCTGCCCACGGCCCACCAGCGCCGGGTGGCCTCGCAGACACATGGGCAGCACGCGGGCTCACCAGGACAGGCAGTCCTTGAGGGCGTTGTAATAGGGGAGCTTGGAGACCACGCACACCGCGAAGGGTACGAAGCAGCCAGCCATGCCTGCGGTCGGCCAGGACGGCTCCCAGTGCGCCTTGCCGTTGTAGAAACACGACTCGTCCTGGAAAGAAAGCAACAGACCCGTGTCACCTCCTGACCCAGCTGGTCCCGGCTTCTATCCTCAGCAGCGTGGGCCTCTGCAGACAGAAGTGAGAGCACAGGGGCCCAGACAGCATCCTGCTCCCCCACCGCCCGGCCCGCGCTCCCTCCGGTGTCACTGTGAGTCCCAGTCAGTGCGGACGGGCCCCCCCGGTGTCACCGTGAGTCCCAGTCAGCGCGGACGGGCCCCCCCGGTGTCACCGTGAGTCCCAGTCAGCGTGGACGGGCCCCCCCGGTGTCACCGTGAGTCCGTGAGTCCCAGTCAGTGCGGACGGGCCCCCCCGGTGTCACCGTGAGTCCCAGTCAGCGTGGACGGGCCCCCCCGGTGTCACCGTGAGTCCCAGTCAGCGCGGACGGGCCCCCCTGGTGTCACCGTGAGTCCGTGAGTCCCAGTCAGTGCGGACGGGCCCCCCCAGTGTCACCGTGAGTCCCAGTCAGCGCGGACGGGCCCCCCTGGTGTCACCGTGAGTCCGTGAGTCCCAGTCAGTGCGGACGGGCCCCCCCGGTGTCACCGTGAGTCCCAGTCAGCGTGGACGGGCCCCCCCAGTGTCACCGTGAGTCCCAGTCAGCGCGGATGGGCCCCCCCAGTGCCTGCTGTCTGTGACATACTGAGGTGGTGGAGATGGTGAGACACGTTCCCGCCTGGGTGGGAAGGGATGCATAGTGAGAACACAGTAAGACACAGAAGGGGCCACGGGCTCTGCTTACAAAGGAAAGAAGCTGCAGCATTAGAGCATTTGTGTGTGTTTGGGGGGGGGGGGGTCTCAGCTGGAGAAAGCACCCGGCACCGGGATTCCAGAAGGCACAGACCACTGCAGAGCTGACGAGTGGCGCATCACTGGGGGCCACAATCTGGCCCCCGCGGAGGGTTGTTCGGGGTTTTTCAGCAGGGATGGCAGGTGTGATAACAGCTTCACCTGGGGATGGTGTGAACGTGAGGGTCTTGCAAGACAGGGAGGGGGAAAGCCCAGCGGGCACGCCATCCGTCTACCCACCAACACTGAACCAAGGCCTACTGCCGTCAAGTCAGTGTGCCGGGGGCCCTCAGGCAGGTTACCTCACCTCCCTGTGCAACTGCTTGCTTCATCTGTAAAACGGGGATGACACTGGGTTCGCAGCCTCGTTCACTGTGGTGTGGACTAAATGAATGACTGCGCAGGAGTGGCGTGTCTCAAGTGGGCGGCTCGCATATGAGGACCACGGTGCCCTCTGCACTCCGGGAGGGGCTGCACGTGCAGTCCACGGAAAGACAGGAGCGCAGGAAGGGGCGTGGGTGGTCATGGACACGCGGGGAGGGAGGGGAGGCCGGCACGTAGGGCCCAGGGTCACCCCGAAACCACGCAGGCACTGAGGGGACAGGTGAGGGGCCATGCACACCCCAGCAACCAGGTGTAGGGGGGAGTCACATGCAAAGCGCAGGGCTGTGACCTCTTTTAAATGTATTTAATGATAATAAAAATAACATGCACTTCTCATAGCAATCACTCCACAGACGAGCTCCCAAGCACCGTCCTGAATGATGCAGCCTCCCGTGCTGTCTCTGCCGGAAGCGCTACCAGGGAGGGGCAGGAACTCGGCCCCCCTCCCGGCTCGTCGCCCGCCCCTACCTATCCCAGGCGGGTGGGCAGGCCGTCAGTGCCGCGGGCGCAACAGCCCACACGCCCGGCCGCGAGCAGTGGCCTCCCCGCGCCACCCGCCGCCCGCCCTGGGGATGCCTAGTCCAGACACTGAGGTTGCGCACTCAGACCTCAGCAGAATGCTGGGCTCCCACGTGTTTCTGACGCACATCAGGCATGTCCATGCCACTCCACAGGCGTGAAGGGACACAGCCCGTCAAGCTGCACCTTATGTCCCCCGACACTTGGGGATAATTCTCCCACTGCAGCTGGCCCAGCCTCTGATGGCAGAGTGGGGAGGAAAACCCGGGCAGCCACCTCCCCCTCGGTGTCGGACTCCTGGGCTTCCCCGGATGAAGTACCGGGGCCCCTGCTGCTTCTGGAAACCCTCTGGACACAGGCAGCAGGTCACCCCGCCTCTTCAGGTGTGTGGCGGCCCCTGTGAGCTCCCGAGAGGCTCGTACAGGTGGCCCTGCCAGGCGGGGGAGGGCCGAGTCATGCTCGGGAGGCCCAAAGCCGTCACCCTGCACAAAAGAACCTGAGTGCCCCTTCGTGGACGCGTGGGCAACAAGCTCCGGCTCACACCCACGGGGCAGTGGGACTCGGCCACAAGAACAGAGGCGTTGCTGCCCCAACGTGGAAGAACTCTGAACCCGGCCACTGAGTGGAAGAAGCCAGACACAGAGGCCATATGCAGCCTGAGTCCACTGACACCAGGAGTCCGGAGCAGGCAAATCCGTGGAGGCAGAATGGGGGCCGGGGGAGGGACTTTCGGGGTGACGGACATCTTTTGCAACCAGACCCAGCGGGGGCTGCCCGCCACCGGGAGTGTACTTAGGCCACTGACCCGTACACGCTAAGGTGATTAGAGTGCTGGTGGTTTGTGATGTGTGTTTCGGCAGAAGTGAAAACCACGGCAGCCCCATTTCAGAGCGAATTCACGGCAGTCACGTACGTGTAGGGGTCGGTAATACTGGGCAATCACGCCGTATGTTCTGTTCCCACAGACGTCGGTCAGCACCAGGAAGTGGACACTGTCCTCCCTCGGTTCCGAGGCCATGTACATGCCCCCTGCGGACGGAGAAAGAAGAGGAAATCTCGTCACGGCCCTGCGGCATCCGCCTCCGAGCCTGGGCTGTCCACGAGCCCACTTCACGGCCTACGGAACCCGTCCTCGCCCGGCCAGCTGTGGCATCTGGGGGGTCAGGCCGCTAGCCAGCCGTGGCCCCTTCATCTCCCTGCGGTGCCCATTTCCCGGCCGCCCTCTGTGCTCTGCAGAATTTAGCAAAGGAACACGAGGACGACTGCAGACAAACCCTTCGGGATGCGCCTGGAGGAGGCGCCCGTTTCTGAGCACAGCAGGCCTGAGGGTGTCCCAGCTGTCCCTGAGTTATAATCCCTGAGCCCAGGAGACAGCACCCATTCCCGATGGAACCTTCCATTCCAGGAATGAGAGAAGGCAAGTCCCTGGTCTGAGTTTTCTACAACAGCCACTCGGTGTTTCTCAAAGACCAGTGGAAAACATGAGGGCCGCCCGCTGCCGGGAACGGGCCAGGTGGGGAAAGCATGTGAGCCCGGGCTGTGGGCTCCGGAGGCATAGAAAACAGGGGCTGGGGAGCCTGGATGGAGGCACACTTGGGGGCGGGTGGGGGGGCCAGATGCCGCAGGCTAAATGGATTCTTCTTGACCCACCTACCAGACCTCTGGAAGAACGGCCTGTCAATTGAAGGTGAAAATCCTTAGAAAGCACCTACCAACCGTGCTGGCAATCCGCACAGCCCCTCGTCTGGGACTCATTCTCCAAAACGGGAGCTGCACTACATCGTGGGCCACGCATCCTTCAGCTCCCAAACCCCCAAGCTTAAGAGAACTGAGTCCCACGGTTTGACCTTGAGGCTGCCAGGGGTCACCAGCCCCCCATCTGTCACCCTTTCTCGACGTGGTTTCTAGAAAGCACCATGGGTGCGGCAGGAAAGCAGGGCAGGGGATACCTGGGAAGCAGAGCTGAGGCAGGGCAAGCAGGTCCACACCGTTGGGGACACTAACGTCTTCAGGAGGGAGGCCCTTCCAGGGCTCTGTTTTGGGCTTGTCCTTCTTCTTTCTGAAGGAGCGCCTTCTGGTCTTGCTCAGAGTCACACAGGGGGCACCAGCCATCTGACTGTCCTCCTTAGTGATGAAAGGAGGCACAAAAATGGACAGGACCTCCGGATCGAGAGAAGAGGGGCTGCGGACCCCGTTCTTCAGAGACATCTGAAGCAGGGAGAAATACGAGTAAGCCAGCGGCGCCGACCCTTGCTCCGCTGTGCGCCTTCCATCCAAGACCCACTGTCACTTTGTTCCCCGACCCACCACCGAGCACGGGTTCCACACCCGTGTGTGTAGCCTCACCCACAGTGGCCCGGGACAGGAAGGACCGCACAGAAGCTCCTTTTAGGGACCCGACGGGCCATGCGTTCAGGCGAGTCACCCGCAACGCGGGGTCTGGCTCTTTGGCTGCCCCTGGGCACACAGCCTGACAGTCCGAGCCCGGCCAACAGGCAGACGTGAGTTCCAATCCGGCTTTGCAAGGACTGCAGCAGCGAATGCCGCATCCCTGAGCTTCCCTCTCCGGGGGGCGAGGTCGCAGGTCAAGGGCTCAACCCTGACCCCCCACACGGGAGGCCCCAGTGCCCTCACAGGCTGGGGAGGAGGTGCCCCGCACACTGTCCGGCCTGGTACAGATGGGGTGCTGACGCCCTGCCCCATGCCAGTGGTCCTGTCACCACTGACCTGGGGACACAGACTGAGGGGTGAGAAGGACTCCCGGCCCAAGAGAGGAGAGACGCACCCTTCCTCCGGCAACCACATGGTCGCCCCGGATCTATGCAACAGGGGCATTCGGCCTGAACACTTTTAAGCTTTAACTTGGTACCCGATGTTTACAAAACCTTTTGTCTTTTCACTCTTCCCCCCAGATAAGATAAGGAGCACGGGGGTGCCTGGGTGGCTCAGTCGGTTAGGCGTCTGCCTTCGGCTTGGGTCATGATCCCAGGGTCCTGGGATCAAGCCCCGCATCGGGCTCCCTGCTCAGCGGGGAGCCTGCTTCTCCCTCTCCCTCTGCCTGCCTCTCTGCGTACTTGTTCTCTCTCTCTATCTCTCTGTCAAATAAATAAATAAAATCTTTAAAAAAAAAAAAAAAAGATAAGGAGCACGGCTCTGCCTCCGGTCTCTGTTCTGTGCAGCTACGATGGCCGAGAGCCCGAGCCGCACCGGCAGCTGCCAGGCTGCTCCCTGAGCTCCCGGGGGAGGTCAGCAGGCCATGACAGCGAGCAGGCAGTCAGCTCCAAGCTGGCGGAGAAACAGAGAAGTCAAAGGCAGGATTCGCTGGGTGGCAAGCACGTGGAAGGGGGAGGACGCCCGGGTGGGGTGGGCAGTGGGCAGTCGAAGATCTCTGAGGGACTCAGGGCAGCAGGAAGGACGTCACTGTCACCAGAAGAAATGGAATAGTCACCGGCAGGAAAGGGATGGCCAGCACCCCGGTTTCAGTAAGAATCATGGGACCAAAGGGGAACTCTTACCCTTGAGGGGATTCATACAAGGAGATACCATCAGTAAATACACTCTCCAAACTCAAAATGCTTATTTTTATGCTGTATGATTTAAATTCAGGCAACAATTTCTTTATATTTGGAAGAAGGGTTTTTTTTTTTTTTTTTTTTTTTTTTTAATTTGAGAGAGAGAGAATGAGAGAGAGCACATGAGACGGGGGAGGGTCAGAGGGAGAAGGAGACTCCCTGCCAAGCAGGGAGCCCGATGCGGGACTCGATCCAGGGACTCCAGGATCATGACCTGAGCCGAAAGCAGTCGCTTAACCAACTGAGCCACCCAGGCACCCTGGAAGAAAGTTTAATACCAGCAGGAACAAAGACCAGACATGGGAAATCTGTATTATCGGATAATTTTTAAGTCTCTGTGTATCAGGCATGAAAGGAAACCACATCTTGAGTTATATAAAACCTTTTTTAAAACTTTCCTGTCAAAATCCAGCAGTTCAGACCTATTTAACTATGAAAGTACGTGTGTCCGCTCCTTGCTCACATCAAACATCACATCCATGAGGACTGGGCACAGGTGGCCACACTGGAGCCCACCCCTTTCCTGCAACTTCCCCTCTGCTCTTTCCCTCCGCCCTGACGCTCCTGGGTAGGGCCCCAGCAGGCAGCTCCTTCCAGGCTGTGACACCCCCCGCCCCCAACCCAGGCCAGGGCTGACTCATTGCCCCACCTCAAGCGCCTGGCCTGGCCGGCAATCTCCACACTCACGTGGTGTCCTCACTTGGGGACGGCGCCCAGAATCCCACCGCCAGCTCAGACCTCTTTCCAGTCCCAGACTGCACCCAACTGCCTCCCAACGTACTTGGCGGGTCCCTGAAATTATAGTTTCAAAAATTAAGCTCTGGCTGATTCCCCTAAAACCCAAGCTTCTACCCATACGCTCACCTGGGATAAAGACAGTGACCCTCGGGTCTCAGAGCCGGCCCTCCGGCCCCTGCTCCTCACTCCCATCTGCAAACCCGCACTTCAGGGCCCCTGGCCTCAGGAAGGTCTCTAAGAGCAGCCCCAGTGCCACCCCATCTGCACATTTCCAAACAGTCCCCTGTGGCTTAGCGGAGGTACAGATTTGCCACAAACTAATCCTCCAAGGTTTCTGCCATGAGAATGACATCACCTCCTCCCACCTGGCCCAGGGCGCCCCGCCTGCACCTCTGTCCACTCTCACAAAGGGGCGCCAGGGTGGCTCAGTCGGTTAAGCATCTGCCTTCGGCTCAGGTCATGATCCCAGAGTCCTGGGATCGAGTCCCACATCGGGCTCCCGGCTCAGCGGGGAGCCTGCTTCTCCCTCTGACCCTCTCCTCTCTCATGCTGTTTCTCTCTCACTCGCTCTCTAATAAATAAATAAAATCTTTAAAAAAACAAAACAAAACAAAAAAGAACCCATGTGACCTCATCATCCGCCCTGACGGGCAGTGGCGCCTGCCAGCTGGTGTCAGCTTCTTACCCCTGCAGACCCTTCGATGGGCTCAAACCAGCCTCACAGACCACCTCTGTCCCTCGACCAGAATGGAAACCAAGTCTGTCTCCATGTCATCGTTACTAGTACGTATTCCGTGCACATGTCACACGTGTGCTTGTGTCCCAGGGAGGATGACGACCTGGTCTGCAGGCCTGAGTAGCAGGCCAGCCTGCTTCCAAAGCCAGGGCGCCCCCAAAGCCGTGCACCACCGAACCTCAGTCTCCAGACACACGCGCCCATGTTCCAACGCTCTTCCCAGCTCTCCACTCAGGCCCCGCTCCAGGGGCCTGACACGTGCCCAGCCCCCTCCCCACTCCACCTCTTCACCAGGGACCCCCCCCTCCCCTTCACCCCCACTGGAGGGAGAATTTCCTCACCTGCAGCCAGGGCAAAGTGCCTCTTCCAGGCCATTAAGGCCCTGGCTCCGCCCCTCCTCGAGCACCTCCTTCTACCTCCACATTCCCTCCCTCCTCACCTCCTCACCTCCTAGAGCACCTCTTTCCACCTCCACCTGCCCTGGCCCAGCACCTCTAGAGCATCGATGCCCTCCGCAGTGGTACTGTATCACCTTCAGAGTTGTTGGTGGGGTGATGCGGGGATTGTATGGTTTCGCTCTGTGTCCCCACATTCAGCACAGAAGATGGTTCTCAGTGGATGCCGCTCATCCACTCATATCCTGGCACTCCGTGATCACTTAGGGCACATTCGGTCTGTATGGAACACGGTCATCATGCTAACACCAATAAACTACCTCTTGCTCCCTCTACTTACCTAGTCACTTAAAGTGAAATGGCCCAAATTCAGCCAACTTGGCATTTGGCAGTTCATCACACATCTGTTTTTCCTCTGAACATATATCCTTGCTGTCTTTCCTGGTTGGATAAGTAACACACTCTCATGTTTTAAAGCTAACAACAATATAGGAAGAATAAAAAATAAGAATGGAAAGGAAAGGCCCTCCCCCTAATTCCATGAAATGGTGGGTAATACCCTGTCACAGTGTAGGATACAGTCTTCCTATTTCTTAGGTGTATATCAATACGATTTTTCTCTCTACATACAATCATCTCCTTTTAACGGTTCCACTCAGCTTTTTTCCCCACTTAAGCACACAGTGTGGCTGATTTCCCTGTCACAGCTGTACGGGGCCACAAGGGGACGACTCAGGAACGTATCTGCCCCATCCCCTACCGAGGGACAGCTGGTGTGCTCTCAGTTCGTCGTCACACACACAACCTGAGCAAAGGCAGCAGTGAACAGTGACTTATTCAGAATAAGTTCCTGGAAGCACCGTCCTGGATCCCAGAGCATCGCAACTGTCCCTCCTCCCCTACGGGCAAGACAAGGTCCGCTGGTGACAGTCTGGTGCCAGTCATTCCTGCTCTTCTCTCGCAGACACCGATTTACTAACCCCTACCGGGTAATAACCATTTCAGTCCCCGAAACCAGAGCTAATACGTAAGACACACAACACCCTAACTCATAGCGTCACAGATTTATTTCTGTTAGATTACAGAGGGGCACTGATCTTCATATAGGTTGGGCCAACAGTTGTGAAATAAAACAGAAAACAACAGATTTTTTTTAATGCTCTAGAACTGTGCTGTCCAACACCATTAAGAGCCATGTGGCTATTTAAATTGAAATTAATTAAAATTAAATGAAATTTAAAATCCAGTTCCTCGGTGGCACTAGCCACGCTTCAAGCACCTGGTAGCCACATGTGGCTAGTGGCTGCCTACTGGATGGCACAGATGAAGAACACTGGTGTCATCATTCAGAAAGTTCTGGTGGGCCGAGCTGCTCTAGAAACCGAAAGCCAGGATGCTCTCCATTAAGAACCGTTACAGTGTTGCTTTCACAGGCAAGAATTATGCTAGTGACCTACTCTATGGACACTGCTCTCGGTCCACTGGGAGGGTTAGCGGTGCATCCTTCCATCCCCCACGCCTAGTCTCCACGGCAACCACGGAGTGGAGGGAAATGTAACCAAGCACAGAAACTCACATGGGGATGGACCTGTATCCTCCAAGTCTTTGTCACTATCCTCACAAAACAAACACCACCCCATCTAAGAAATGAAATGGAAAGGTAGGGCTCCTTACTACCCTAACATTAAATTGGATGTTTCTCATACTTCCAGGCTTGTTTTCATCTGTCACCAAGCAGGAATGCCTCAACGACAGAGAAATGGTGATTTTCAAAGTTCTAAAAAAGCCTCAGACGTTGGAAATAGAACTGCTATACAGTAAAAGTAGCCAAATGAAGTCATATGTTTGGTTAACTGTAACGTCAACATCGACCTTAAAGGAGGCTCACTCCAGGAAGTTGGACCCATCCCATAAGGTTGCCTTTTTCCTACTCCAAATATTTGCTCTCTACCTTCTGCTGAACCCCTAACAGAATCAGGGTGTAGGATAAAAAGGATAATAGTTAAAATGCAGAGTAGCAAACTGCCGCTCGCCCGGGAAAGCCGCGGCCTGTTTGGGTCAGGAAAGCACCCCTGTGCACATTGCAGCTGATTCACCCTACTCTCAAGACACGTCTCACCCTGGGGCAACCAACACATGTGTTGAAATCACCCAGGAAGCAACTGAAACCAAGTCATTTCCTATGAGAAGAAAAAGGAGGAAATGCCATTTGGCAAATTAGAGGCAGAGAGATAACTCAATCGATGAGGGTCAGGGGAGACAGAGGTCAAAAGGGGATGCAGACATCACTGGGGTTTGGGGAGTAAGAAAGGAGGAGGGAAATGCAGAAACCATCCAAGTCGGCTCTGTATTAAAGTCAAGGAGACGGGGCGTCTGGGTGGCTCAGTCGGTTAAGCATCTGCATTCTGCCCAGGTCATGATCCCAGGGTCCAGGTCATGATCCTGGGGTCCTGGGATTGAGCCCCTTGTGGGGCTCCCTGCTCAG